TTTTCAGCAAAGTATTGGAACACTAAATGCTCACAGGTAGGGACTAATTAAATAAATCATGGTATATTTGTATAACTAAATATCAGACAATTTTTAAAAAGAAGGTAGATCTACATATTGAAATGGAAAGATGTTAAAATATGTATTTTTAAAGGTAAATTTTTTGGTAATGTTTTTGATAGATATGAATAGAAAATTCAGAGAAGGAATCACAAGAAACAACTCCAGTGTGGATGGTATCAGAGCTGCCACTGGAGAATGGGGAATTTAACTTTCATTTTGACCCTTTGATCCACCCTCACCCCTGCTTTTTAAAATTCTGAACACTTGCCGAAACCGGTTTGGCTCAGTGGTAGAGCATCGGTCTACGGACTGAAAGGTCCCAGGTTCAATTCCAGTCAAGGGCATGTACATTGGTTGCGGGCACATCCCCAGTAGGGGGTGTGCAAGAGGCAACTGGTCGATATTTCTCTCTCATCGACGTTTCTAGCTCTCTATCCCTCTCTCCTCCTCTTTGTAAAAAATCATTAAAATGTATTTAACAACAACAAAAAAGAATTCCTCTTTTAAAAAAATGTTTTTTTAAATAAAATAAAATAAAATTCTGAACACTTGTTACTCTCATAGAAAAAAAATTTGAGTTGAAGAACAAGAAAAACCAGAGCTAAAACCATACCATCTTTGTTGTATTATTGATTACAGATGGCATTCTTTGCCACAGTTTTGCCGTAGCTGTTCCTGGCTACTTAATCAGACATCATGATCAGAAGTAAGCCCCGTTCCTGCCATGTTCCATTTTCAGAATGACTTGTTCTAAGATCATGCCACCACCACCACCTTCTCATCCAAAACCTTGAAGTAGGGAAACTCTTATTTCCAATGGCCATGACTGCTGCCCTAACCCTAAGTAGGAAAATTTGCATCTCCAATGAACATGACTGGCTGGCTATTGACTAGCTTTGAAAGGTCACCAGGAGACCAGGACCGAAAGGTATGGCTGCTAAATGTTTCTGTATTTCCCCCTGTTTTCTAGCTTGACCCACACCTTCGTGATGTTGGTTGAGTCACCTAACAAGCTGTTTGCACTGCCAACCCCGAAGTGGACTGTGGATATGACAGCATGCTGTGACATATCCCTGGTGTTCTCAGTACCTATTTTTTGTGTGTGGATTTTAAAAATATTTTTATTGAGTTTTAGGGAGAGGAAGGTGGGGAGAGAGGGAAGCAACACATAATAGAGAAACATCTATCGGCTGTCTTCCCTACCAGGGATCTAGCCTACACCCTGGGCACGTACACTGACTGCAAATCGAACTGGCAATCTTTTGGAGCACAGAACAAAGCCTTACCGACTGAGCCACACCGACCAGGGCTCAGTACTTGGTTTTTGAGAAAAAACAACTGATCCTTGGAAAGTTTAATATTTCACACAGTTGCCCTAAATTTGTAGCTATGCAGTATTTCTTCCTTTATTTCCCTAAACTTCGGTGATTTGACTCAATCCACAAAGTCCTGAGTAAGAAATAGGGAAATGGGTGTTCCTGTAGACCCACCCTTTTTGCGTTACTGTGTAAAGGAGACATGTCTATAATTTGGGAAAGAGGTCAAATTATATAACAACTCATCCACATTCAATGGTAGAACTGGAACCCTGGCCACCTGACTCTTTCTTCCCATCAGGCCATCTCCTCTCAGTGGAGTGGGCCCCTTTAGTTGCCCTGGCTAACTGGCTCTCCAACTTGAACTTCAAAGAAGCTGTGACATTGTTTATGGAGCTAAAAGGGCCTTGTAGGTTTCCTGGTACTTTGATCAGAAAGCATTTAGAACGTTCGAGTTGTGTTATTTAATTTATGTGCAGAAATAGATAATTCTCATTCTGATGGGTCTAAAGATCTAAGCCAGAGTCCATCTCTGAAAAAAGAAGAAAATTTTTTTGAAAGGTGCATTAGTTCCCTGCAAATGGTAGCTTTATCTGTCTATCTGGTTGATCCATCCCCTCCATCATCATCACAGCATATGACTGGCCAGCTGGTGGGAGGTGGGAGGTGGGAGGTGGGGGCACAGAACCTGTCGGCCAGGGACCAGGCAGTGCCGCTCCCTGTCAGCCTCCACCTTCCTGTCTGCAAAATGAGGCCAGTGACTGCTGGGTTCCTGCTTGGTGGGGCTGTTGGGCATTCGGATGAGAGGTGTGGATTAAAGGCCTCTCTGACACCGTGTCCTTGGCACACCTGAGGAGTCAGGCATTAAAGGAGACCTTATGCTCAGTGGTTGGGCACCCAGGTGCTGGAGTTGGGCTTCCTGGTGGGAAGTGACGCATTTCGTTTCTAGGGGGAGGGCCTGGAGAGGAGACGCATCTGCAGGAGCGCCTCTGGCTGCCTGGGCTAGATTCATAGTTGTCAGCGCATCCCCGTGGTGGGGCTGTCTCATGATTCATGTCAAGGTGATGATGCTCAGAATAAAGTCTGCTGCCTGCATTGCCCAGCACTTAGCAAATCTACACATATGTGAAACCCTGGTGGCAACTGAATCCAGTGCAGGCAGTCACACTGCAGCTCTTATGAGATGGGATTTTCCTCGTGGGCCCTAAATTCTATTCAAAGAGATTATAAGTCTTAAGTAAAATTGCTTATTGCAAAAAAAAAAAAAAGAAGAAGAAGAAGAAGAAGAAGAAGAAGTCTTGCTAAGTTGGACTCATAAAGTTTGGTTTTGATAGTGAGCCATAGAAATGGGAAAAACTATCTCAAGATAAAAGAAGTCCTAATTTGGGAGTAAGATGACCCAAAGGTTGCTGTTCTGATGTCATCACTTACTGAGGTGCTGGGCAGGATTCCTCACTTCCTGTTCCCTCAGGATTAAATTGAGGGCACTAGGCCTTACTTAGGTGAGGTAATTGAGATAATGCATTTAAAGCATTTAGCAAGGTTCTTGGCACATAGACTCAGTAAATATTATGTTATTTTTAGGCAAGGGTGACTGATATATTTCTAAGTGATCATTTGCAGCAACCTGGATGGAATTGGAGAATATCATGCTGAGTGAAATAAGCCAGTCAATGAAAGAGAAACACCACATGATCTCACTTATTTATGCATGATAAAGAACATTATAAACTGAAGAACCAAAAGATAGATATAGAGACAGTAAAGCAACAAGTGGACTGTCAAATTACAGCGGGGAGGGGAGGGAGATCTGGGGGAGATAAGAGATCAACCGAAGGACTTGTATACATGCACATAAGTACAACCAATGGACACAAAACTCGGGAGGGTGGGTACGTATGGGAGGGGGGGCAATGTTAAAATATGTACACAGATAATTATTTAGTAAAAAAAAAAAAAAGTCTGAGACAAGCTGGCAGTGTCAGAAATTAAATTGAGAATATGAAGGGGAAATGGTTTCATTTTATTCTGTTGTGTTTTATAATTTTTTTATTGATTTGAGAGAGAAACATCGATTTGTTGTTCCATTTATTCATGCATTCATTGGTTGAATCTTGTATCACAATGTTGGTATATTGGGACGATGCTCCAGCCCACTGAGCTACCTGGACAGGGCGATAATTACTGTTTTAAAATTAGAACTATAGAACTTTAAAATTAGAACTTTAAAATTAGAACTTCTTATGTGTCTCTCTTGTTGGGAATGGGGGCAACATTTGTTGAATCTCTGGGACCTCACAAAAGATGGACAGTTGATTATATAATACTTGAAGATAAAAAGAAGTACTGACCGTGTAACCATTACCGCGAGAGCCTCATTGAACAGCTAGCCTGCCGTTTCAGCGTCATGACGTCCCGCCTTCTCCAGAAAGCCTCTCCTTAGCATCTGGGCACACGGCGATCTCGCCCGGGACCCATAAAGCTCACTGACCCCATTTGGCCTCAGGAAGCACGGAGGCCGTTGCTTGCCGGTCCGGTGGCCGTTGCTTGCCGGTCCGGTGGCTCTCCCCTGCGCTGGGCAGTGCTCGGAGCGCCTGAGTGGGGCTGGGCTGGGCCTCCGGAGGAAGACTCAAGCTGTGTCCTATCCAGGGAGTGTTCTTTCAGAACACTCGCCTGCATATTCGAGAAGGTGCTGACCCACCAGGATGCCGGGGGTTGCTATTTTAGCATTAGAGAATAAGTGGGCTAGGGTGGGACATGAGCACCTCACCCAGCGCTCCCCAGAGAATTAAAAGTTGCAAAATAGCCCTGGCCGGTGTGCTAAATGGGTAGAGCACCGGCCTGCGCACCATAGGGTCTCAGGTTCGATTCCTGGTCAAGGGTACGTACCTAGGTTGCAGGTTTGATCCCTGGCCCCAGTTGGGTGTGTGGGGGAGGCAACCAATCGATGTTTCTCTCTCTCTCCCTCTCCTTTCTACCCTCCTTAAAAATCAGAAGGGAAAATATTCTCTGGTGAGGATTAACAACATAAAAAGATGTTGTAAAATAATGTCCTTGAGGAGTGTAAGGCATGGCAGAGTTTTAAATAGTGCCCGTGTAGAGTGGACGTGAGAAATGCAGGCTGCGATAGCCCCGAGGCCTGCTGAGGAAGTGATGGGAGAAATACCGGGGTTTCTCCGGTCGGTCGTAGGTCTCTGTCTGATTCTTTGGGGTGACACCCTGAGGCTTTGCTGAGCCATGTGCCCAGAAACGACGACGATGGTAACCTTCCCAGGCTGACTCTCTTCCAGATTCTGATTCTTTGGGGTGACACCCTGAGGCTTTGCTGAGCCATGTGCCCAGTAACGACGACGTTGGTAACCTTCCCAGGCTGACTCTCTTCCAGACCTTTGCCTCTGGCCAGCAGCGTGGGCCTGGACCCCGACCGAGCCAGTGACGGTGGAGGCGGGGGCAGGGGCTCGTCTCCTGTGGGCGCTGGAGGGCTGTCAGGCCCAGGGGAGGAAGCCAGCTTCTCCTCTTCTACTCACAGAGGAGAGCTGCAGAGAAACGCTTGAGGAAGGAAAGGCAAACCATAGGAGCAGGCGCCTTGGCACAGCCTCTGAAGGTCTCCTCTGCTTGCAGGCATCGGAGGTGGAGAGGCAGCTCTCCCTGCAGGTCCACGCCCTCAGAGAAGACTTCCGGGAGAAGAACTCCTCCACCAGCCAGCACATCATTCGCCTGGAGAGCCTGCAGGCTGAGGTGAGCTCAGGGCCGCGCTGCTCGGGGCTGCAAGTGCTTCACGTGCAGGCCCTGCGTCGGGGCTCTCCGATAAGGAGCCCTCTGACCCGGGAGCACAACCCGCTCTCTCAGATCCCTAGAGGGACAAAACCCGCTCTCTCAGATCCCTAGAGGGACAAAACCCGCCCTCTCAGATCCCTAGAGGGACAAAACCCGCCCTCTCAGATCCCTAGAGGGACAGCTGCGAGAGGCTAGGAGGCGCATGGACCCCTCGCCTCTGGGGAGCCTGTGGTCTGGAAAGAAGGCTCAGAGTGACTGCTCAGTGTTTGAAAATGACCTGCTTGTGCCGAATGTGCTGATTCCTCCACAAGCACTGGCCGTCCTCAGTAGAAGGTGGAAAGGGAGTCTTCCTCTCCCCCCTCCATCTGGGCCCAGGGTACTCACCTGATCGGGGCCTGTTCTCACCTCTAAAGGGAGCAGAGTAGAGTAGCTACTTCCGAGGGGGGTGGTGAGGACTTGGTAAGTTTGCACATAGGAAGCACGGCAGGTGGGGGTGGTCATATCATTGACAGTTAACGAGAGGCCGTCAGGTCTGTGGCCCTGAGTGGGCGGGAGGGCAGGGCAGGGCAGCGTGGCAGTAAGGAGCCGTCTTGTGAGAACGCAGGTGTGGGTAGGGAGGAGTGGGGGGGGTCATACCGGCAACCCAAACGGGCTTTTTCCTGGGTGGCTGCTCCCTGATCTGCTCCAAGGACCCCCCTGGCTGAGTCACACTTTGAGGACAGACAGGGCCAGACACACGTGCACCCACTGTGGTTAAGAAACCCGCCAACCTGTCGGGCCGGAGAAGCAGGCTGCTCCCTGCTTCATAAAGGACCCAACGGTGTTTTCCTAAAGTCTGTCCACGTCTTCTCTCTCCTCCTGCCTCTCCTTCCCGTCCTCCCTCCTTCCCCTGGGATTGAGCAGCAGGTCCTTGAAGTAAGTAGTCTGTCTCCATGGGCTTGGCATGTCTGTCTGTGTCCGTAGGCTTGGCATGCCTGTCTGCCTGTCTGTGTGCATGATGCCGCTCACCTGCCGCCACCAAGACCTGACCCCTCGAGTTGCCTGTCCTCTCTCTCCTACACCCCCTCCACATCCACATATCCAGGCCCTCGCAGCACGGGCTCATTCCCAGGCATGTGCATTGCCAGATGTGGTCACAAGTTCCCGGGGGGTGAGAGGGGTGAGGGGAGGAAGGTGGGGGAGTTGGCCGCCGATTCCTTGCTCCCAGCAGCACTCTCCCTGTGAAAACCCGGGCTGTGGCGTTACTCGTTTCAAACAAGTGACTTCCCGGAGCCGGGCCGTCTCTCAGAACTTGCCTCATGGCTCCATGGAGAGAACTTGGGAAGCAAGGATGACACAGGGGAAGGAAATGGGAAGGTCAGAGGGGGTTTATATGAAAACCAACCAGAGTAAGAATTCCCTTCACGCTCACGTGGCTTCAGGGAGGGAAGAGTGGGCCCATTCACAAAAGGGGCCTGCTCCCTCCGTCCCCTCCCGGGGCAGGCTGGAGAGACAGTGCCGCTTTGTGTGGCCAGATACCTGATCTCTGGACCAAGGCCACATACTTGGTTTCCCGGGACGGCCTCCTATCTGATAGGTTGGTGGCCATGGAGATCTGTGCCCCAGGAGCAGAACTCTGGTGCAGAGAGTGAGTGAGGGCGGCGGGAAGCAGGGGAGAGGTGGGGAGGTCCAGGCGGGTCCCCCTCAGTGAACGGTTACCCACACGAGACAGAGCAGGAGAACCTCGCAGTCACGTCGGGAGACTCTTGACAAGCGAGATGCTGGTTGAGAATCAGTCCAGCAGGAAGCTGAGGAGAAGGAGGAGCCGGGGTACCTGCAGGGGCTCCTAGACGCCCCCTCTCCCAAGGCCACCGGCATTTGGGGGGACTTGGGAAAGCTTCCCGTAGCCCCGAGCGTGGCGGTGCTCGGCGATGAAGTATCGCTGGCCCGGCTACCACCCGCAGACCGTGGGGCCAGAGAACACTTGGCATCCCTTCCCTCTGTTTTCCTGAAACTGAAGCAACCAGACAGCCCTTCTAAAAGATTAATGTCTCTCTGGAGACGGGCTGGGCGTTCTGTGTACCAGCACCCCCGCCTGTCTCGGGAAAGGAGAGAAAGGGCTCTGTCCACCAACAACTTGCTCAGGCAAAACAGACACCGGGAGTGAATCCGTCACCCCCGTGTCCCTGCTGCTCCCTCCCAGGGCATAGGCTGGTGCAGGCACTGCCAGCTCCCCACTAACTCGGGTCTGAGCGGGGACCCCGGAGCGAGACCTGCCAGAGTGGGGAAAGACAGAGCCTCGGACAGGGAGACAGCGGCTCCAGGGCAAGCCTGGGCGTGTGTGCGCGTGTGATGTGAGGAGAAGGGCGCAGAGGGTTAGGTTCCCCTCCCGAGTAAACTGTGAGATTGGAGTCAAGTTGTGGGCTGGCAGGGTGGGGCTCTCCTGTCTTATCGCTGGAAATTCCAGAGCACTACCCGTCCCTTTCCCCGCATGGCACCCCACATTTCAGCCTTCCCAAAACTCCACCCCTTCCCAGGTTTCTCGACGGGAGGGGTGTTCTCTGTAGCGGAGGGGGTCACAGCTGCCGTCTCAGAGATGGGGGCCCCTGGGCAGAGGGCGTTCGTGCCTGGAGGCTGGTCCCTCGCTTCAGCCGGATGTAACTCCCTCCTTTCCCCCCCTCAGATCAAGATGCTGTCGGATCGGAAGCGGGAGCTGGAGCTCCGGCTCAGCGCCACCTTGCAGGAGAACGACCTGCTGCAGGGAACCGTGGAGGAGCTGCAGGACCGGGTGCTGGTCCTGGAGAGGCAGGGCCATGACAAAGACCTGCAGGTACTGAGGGGCCGCACAGAAGCAGCGCTCAGCTGCCCCGCGGGGAGGAGAGGCCGGGAGGCAGCGCCACCTCCACCCCCGGGCCGGCCCTGTGTGCCGTCTCCCCGGGCCTGGTCGTGGTTCTGGCCTCACTGCGTGGGCTGGGCTGGCTCTGCTCGGAAGAAATGCATCGCCACCCTCAGGGCATGCTTCCGTTTTGTGCCCAGCCGCTAGCCCCAGAGCAGTGTCACAGAGTTCTCTCTGGTCCGCGCTCAGGGCTGGGACCCAGCAAGTGGGAGTGTCGCTCTGCCTCGGGGTGGAGACCTGGACTTTCAGAGGGAGCCTGGGTGCTGGCTCATGCTCTCTGCTGCTGCTCCCCTGGGCCGGTGGATGCGGTCGGCAGGAACCAAGAAGCTGCCCACCGAACCCAGCAAGACCTGCATCCTGCACCCTGCTTCTGCCAGTTGTGGGAAAAGGCCCGGCTGACCCCTTGGTGAGCCTGGTTAGCCTTCTTATTTCCCACGGAAGGAAATGGCTTCATGGCCACATTTGTCCTTTTTTGGCACCTGCCAACTGGCCTCAGCTGAATCCCCAAGCTCACAGTTAGCAGAAACAACCCCTTGAACAGGATCATGGCTTCCAGCCTCCCCGGGTAAATAAAGCCTTGCTGAGCAGCTGGGTGCCGGGGCCAAAGGCTGAGGGCGCTGCAGCCCGGGGGTGGGTGCCTGGGTGCTGCTGCAGCCCGGGGGTAGGGTGGGTGCTGCTGCAGCATCGTGTGTGCAGGTGGTCAGCCAGGTGTGCGAGAGCTCCAGGCGGCCCCGCCCTGCGGGCTCAGGGTCAGCTGTTACGGGAAGCCTTGGGATATGAGATAAGGATGCACTTTAGACGAAGATCACTTGTTACTGGCACCGTCAGCTGGTTGAGCTACCCTCTGAGTGACAAACCTATTTAGGGCAAATTAGCAATTTTCCTCCCTCCATGCTTTTTGCATATTCATTCAGCTTGGAACGTGGCCCATAGCAGGGCCTCGGATAATGATGAATAGAAAAGGATGCTCTAAGGAGTTTGCTCAAGGTTTAAGGTTGATGGTGTTAACAGAGTGAATGTCGTATGCTTCCTTACAAGGGACCAAGTGCCTCTGCACGCGTTCTGAAGCTGAGGACTAGAAAAAAGGAAATGTTTATCCACAGCAGCGTAGTCAGTCTTGTGGACCCCTCGCCGCCTGCGTTACCTAGTGCTCGGTGCTAACTTCCAGCCTGGCCCTGGCCCTGCAGGTCGGGGTTGCACCAGCCTCTGTTACCCATCAGGCACTCTGCTGAGGGCTGCGAGGTAGAGCATGGAGAGAAGAAGGAAAAGAAGTGCAGGAGAACGGAAAAGCTGCTCTGCCTGAAAGAAACTTTCTGTCTGGCATGAATTCACAAGTGAAATGTCCTCATTTCCCATCAAGAATTGGGGCTCTCAGCCCTGGCCAGTTTGGCTCAGTAGATAGAGCATTGGCCATCAGACTAAAGGGTCCGAGATTCAGTTCCAGCAAGGACATGTACTTCAGTTGCAGGTTCGATCCTAGCCCTGGTCAGGCACGTGAGGGAGGCAACCAGTTGATGTCTTTCTCACATTGATGTTTCTTTGTCTGTGTCTCCACCTCCCTTTCGTTCTCTCTAAAAATCAATGGAAAAATATCCTCTGGTGAATTTAACAACAAAAGAATGGGGACCTAGGGCGGGCCAGGAGCCAGTATGCCTGGCTGCGGGAACAGCGAGGACTAGCATGGACCATCCCTTACCTGGCCGCACAGTGGACTGTCTATTCTCTGAATCCCACGTCCCCCCACATTCACGCCCTCCTCACGGGTCCATCGCTGTCAGCTACTCAGGCTTCCTTAGAGCGAGAGGGCATTCGCCCAGGACCTACAGCCAGTCGGGCACTTCCCACTCTAGTCTATGGGAGGAACCTCATTTTCCCAGCTGTTTGTAATTCCTGTTCTTCGGTTGGCATGAAGCTCCCTCCACTGCTGCCAATGCCCGGTGTCCTCCAGAAAACCCTTTCTGCTGCCGAAGCAGCCCATCGGATAAACGAAGACTCCAGCTCGCTCTGAGGGCAGTTGAATGCTCTAAAATTGGGTTTGAGGAATGTAGAGCTCGTGGCCTTGGACTGTGTATCATCCACGGTGTTGCCTCCCTCTCTTTCCCTGAGGAAAGGGTTCAGCCACAGCCGATCTTGGCCTTCCCCCTCAACCCCCCGCCCCCGCCTTTGATCTGACTCACTGTGTCCTGGGGGTCCTACTGTCAAAACACTGGTCAAATCAACTCCGGTTTCTTTTTCCGGGCTGTGAATAGGGATAAAAAGTACTACTTACTGAGGGTCCAATAATCTTTTTAAAATGCAGCTAAACTCGTGATGTCCAGTAAAGGCTGTTGTCCCTTTAAGGGCCCTGTGGCTGGCCTCGCTCACAGCCAGCTGGGCGCCGGACAGATGTGCGCAGCGGGCGGGCTTCCCCCGCAGAGAGCACGGCCCCGCTGGGGGCAACCCAGAAAGAGGCGATTTGGCAAAGTTCTTCACCCCCCTCTCCGTTCCCCCGTCTCCATTCCCCCCTCTCCGTTCCCCCCTCTCCGTTCCCGGTGTGAGGGGAGGGGAGGACCCGCTGCTGCCGGCGTGCGGGGCGTGACTGTGAGAGCGCGGACGTGTCACACTGCAGGAACACAGGCGTTTGGCGGCTTCCTTGTTCATACATATAAACGCATTCAGTGTCCTCTCCGTTGTGTAAAGGATGACAGTTCCCATGGTAGAGGGTTCTCATATGTAACAGACTCGTCCCCGGATTGGTTCGTGCGTTTTTCTCTGCATCGGCAGTGGATCGGTTGCCGGCCAGAGCGGCAGCCCCGCCCCAGGGTTCTGCGCCTCGCTGTTATAACTAATTAAGTGCTTCTGCGTGTGCATGAGTAATTGGACTAATTCCGTCCCGTGCAGAAGCACTCGTCCCGGTCTGTGCTGCACGCCCCCTGCCGAGGTCTGCGTGGAGCTGTCTGGGAAATAATTGGGAAGCTCTCTGCCAATTTAGGATGCCGTCTGCAGTCGTGCCAAGCGCTTCCTAGGAATGTCTTTTTCACTTTGTGTTTTTTAACCCTCATTTCTTGTCTCTGAGTTTCCTCAAAACTGGGGCTGGAGGAATGCCCACTGGACCGGTGGGTATTGCTGATCCACGGGAGCCAGGGAGAGCGAGCTTGCCAATGCCTGTCTCATGCTCTGCGCACCCAGGTTCCAAACTTCTAGTCAAGGCGCATCCAGAGCCCCAGTGCCAGCAGCTCACTGTTCCCGGTCCCGGCCGGTAGAGGGGGGCCGTCGGGGCACCTAAAGGGCTGGCTGCAGGCCCTGCAGGGGAGCGGGGAGGGTGTGCCTCCCCCCCTCCCCCCCCCCCCCCCCCCGCAGCGTGCTCCATCCGTGAGAGCTGCAGAGGACAGAGAAACATCTATCAGTTGCCTCCCATGTGCACCCCAACCAGGGATTAAACCTGCAACCAAGGTGTGTGTCCGGACCACCGCCTGTTGGCGCAGGGGAGGATTGGGACCAACTGAGCCACCCAGCCAGGAGCCGAAGTGCTCTTTTATAAGAGGATGAGTTAGTTACATTTAAATCCCAGGAAGTTCTTCTCACACCAATATGTTGGGGGGGAGAGGGGCGCTGAGGGGCAGACTACAAGTTCAAGAGCAGGGGAGAGAGAAGAGCGGGAGACATTGTTCCTGTGCAGGTGTAATGTGTGCACATTGCACAGCGCCTAGCGATGGATTCGGTGCTGCGGTTAAGGTCTCTGCTAGAAGCACGTGTGGTGACAAGCGAGCTGGTATGAGTACGGCGTACACAGTCACATGGAGTCTACCCTTACGTTCGGCAGTAATAACGGCACCAGGGAGCGGCCTGTTTGGATCCTCAGGGAAGGGGCCACAGAGAAATGGGGGATGTCATAGCAACAAGAGAGAGGGATGGAGCCCTGGTCCATAAGCCGTGGCCCCTGCATTGCTGTCCCCCCTCTACCCCATCACTCTCCTCTGAGCCCCGGTGCAGGGGACTCCCCTTCCCCCGGGACCAGGGATGTGTCCGTAAACACGCATCTGACACACAGGCAGACGCTGCTTCCCGTGGGTTTGGAGACGCTGGGTGTTACTACCCAGGTGTTCCTCCACATCCCCCCTGGGGCCTTGGCAGACAGCCGTAACTTCTTCACTGAAATACAGTGTACGTGTATACACAGAAGAGCAGAGCTCTTAAGCAGACAGCCTAGTGAATGTGTACAAGTATGTACCCCTGTGTGACCACCACCCAGCTCTATACAGTTGCTGATCAGCACCCACACGCCTCCCTCCCAGGCAATAAATTCCCTGCCACTTCGTCAAAAATAACTTTGTACCAGCTTTCTTATACCTCGGCGAACTGTGGGCACTTCCTTTTTTTTTTCTTTTCTTTTTTTAGTTTTTATATGGGACAGTACCAGTTTTATTTATTTATTTTACTAATATTTATTGTTTAGATTATTACAGTTGTTCCTCTTTTTCCCCCCATAGCTCCCCTCTACTCAGTTCCCACCCCACCGTCTGCCCTTACCCCTCCCCACCACTGTCCTCGTCCATAGGTGTATGATTTTTGTCCAGTCTCTTCCTGCACCCTCACACCCCTTTCCCCCAAGGATTGTCAGTCCAATCCCTTTCTATGCCCCTGATCCTATTACATTCACCAGTTTATTCTGTTCATCAGACTTTTTATTCACTTGACTTTTAGATTCACTTGTTGATAGATATGTATTTGTTGTCACTTTGTTGTTCATAGTTTTTGTCTTTACCTTTTTCTTCTTTTTCCTCTTATTCTTAAAGAATACCTTTCAGCATTTCATATAATACTGGTTTGGCAATGATTAATTCCTTTAGCTTTTTCTTATCTGTGAAGCTCTTTATCTAACCTTCAATTCTGATGATGACTTTGCTGGGTAAAGTAATCTTGGTTATAGGTTATTCATCACTTTGAATATTTCTTGCCACTCCCATCTGGCCTGCATAGTTTCTGTTGAGAAATCAGCTGACACTCATATGGGTTCTCCTTTGTAGGTAACAAACTGTTTTTCTCTTGCTGATTTTAATATTCTCCCTGTCTTGCCGAAACCAGATTGGCTCAGTGGATAGAGCATCGGTCTGTGGACTGAAAGGTCCCAGGTTTGATTCCGGTCAAGGGCATGTACATTGGTTGCGAGCACTTCCCCAGTAGGGGGTGTGCAGAAGGCAGCTGGTCGATGATTCTCTCTCATCGATGTTTCTAGCTATCTATCCCTCTCCCTTCCTCTCTGTGAAAAATCAATAAAATATATATTGTTTTAAAAATATTCTCTCTGTCTTTTGTCCTTCACATTTTAATTATGATGTGTCTTGGTGTGGTCCTCTTTGGATTCCTTTTGTTTGGGGTTCTCTGTGCTTCCTGGACTTGTAAGTCTATTTCTTTCACCAGGTGCGGGAAGTTTTATGTCATTTCTTCTAATAGATTTTCAATATCTTGCTTTCTCTTCTTCTGGCACCCCCATAATTCGGATGTTGGTACACTTGAAGTTGTCCCAGAAGCTCCTTACACTATCTTCGTATTTTTTAGATTCTTTTTGCTTTTCCAGTTGGGTGTTTTTCACTTCTTTGTATTTCAAATCTTTGACTTGATTTAAAAATCATTAGTCAACAGAACGGCAAACCGCAGCTCGTGAGCTGCATGTGGCTTGTGAGCTGCAGTTAGTTTGCCTACCACTGCTCTAGTCTGCTGTTGGATCTCTGTATGTTATTCTTTATTTTAGTCAGTGTACGCTTAATTTCTAGTTGGTCCTTTTTCATATCCTCGAGGGCCTCACTAAATTTATTGGTGGTTTCTAGAAGATTCTTTTTTAAAAAAATATATATTTTATTGATTTTTTTACAGAGAGGAAGGGAGAAAGATAGAGAGCTAGAAACGTCGATGAGAGAGAAACATCGACCAGCTGCCTCTTGCACACCCCCTACTGGGGATGTGTCTGCAACCAATGTACATGCCCTTGACCGGAATCGAACCCGAGACCTTTTAGTCCTTAGACCGACGCTCTACCACTGAGCCAAACCAGTTTCGGCTAGAAGATTCTTGAGTAACCTTATAACCATGGTTTTGAACTCTAAACCCAATAGTTTGCTTTCCTCCATTTCTTTCATTTGTGACCTCTTTCTTTGTCTCTGCATTTTTGCTGCTTTCCTGTGTTGATAGAGTGGCTTTGTGTGCTAAGTGTCCTATAGGGCCCAGGGGCTCAGCCTCCCTAATTATCTGAGGTGGACACTCTTGGTGCTCCCCTTTGTGGGCTGGGTGCACAGCCTTGTTGTAGTTAAGCCTTGATTGTTGTTGGTATCACTGGGAGGAATTGATCTCCAAGCCAATTGGCTATGAGGATCATTTGTGCTCACTGAGTCTTCCACCTGAGTGATAGTCTCTTATGGATCTGAAGAGTTATAGTCTGGATGGTCTCTCTCTGACCACTGGGTACATTGGCTCTTGGATCTCCAAGAAAAGAGGCCACTTAGCAGGAGTTACAGAGAGATCTGCAGATTCCTTCTCTTTGTTTGGGAAGGTGAGCCCCAGCTATAAAGCAATGCAAGCTGCTGTCAATTCTTTTGGAGGCTCTGGGGCTCTTTGACCCAGCTGCAGTTGTTAGGGTCCAAATTTCAAAAGGCCAGGCTATTCATAAGTGAAAGCCTCTGTGCACAAATTAGGTGGGGCGGGTCTCAGGGAATCACCTGGGTGGAGCACACAGCAATGGTTGACCATCAGCCCTGCCTGGAAGAGGTTCCCAGGTAGTGTTCCATGCATCATGCAGGAACAATGATTGCTGCAAGCACCTCTGAGAGAGAGCTGCCCTCATATTCCAGTGCCAAACAGTCCACTTTCTCCCCATATGAGTCTGGGTCCCCAGAGTCCCGCCTGGAACTGGAGTTCAGAGCAGTCGGGAGCTTGTGTCTCCCTCCCAATGGAGTGCCTCCGTACCTCTGCACTTCACTTCTGCACTTCCACCCTTCCTCTGAGGCTCAGTGTGCTTTTCTCTTTCCTTCTAGTTGTAGAATTTCCACTCAGCAGCCTTCCTGTGGTTCTGGATGTTGTCCGATTTGTCTTTTAGTTGTAGTTTTGAAGTGGTTGTGCGAGGCAGCAAGTTCAAGTGTTTACCTATGTCGCCATCTTGGTTTCTCCTGTGGGCACTTTCTATAAGTGGAATCATCGTTATGCATTGTTTTATGCCTGGCTTTTGCCCAGCCTTATGTCTATGAAACTCATCCATGTTGTGGCATGTAGTAGTGGTGTATGCTTCGTTTGCTGCAGGATAATATTGCAGCACATGACTATAGCCATTCTATTTTTCCTTGCATGTGGATGGTTTCCCATTTGTGACTCTCAAGAATAATGCTGCTGTGAACATCTTGTTTAAGAGTAGAACTACTTTCCTGGCCGGTGGTGCTAAGTGGTTAGAGCCTCGGCCCATACACCTAAGGGTCATGGTTTTGATTCCTGTCAAGGGCATGTACCTGGGTTGCAGGTGCAGGAGGCAGCCAATGGATGTGTCTCTCTCTCACATTGACGTTTCTCTCTCCCCTCTCCTTTCTCTCCTCTCTAAAAAAATGGCTGGGAAAAAATATCCTCAGGTGAGGATTCATAAAAAAAGAGAATTGCTGGTCGTAGGACAGGTATGTATCATTAATTAGAAACAGCCAAACGGGTTTCCAAAGTCCATCTTTCATCCCACCAGCTACGAGTCCCAGCAGCTCCACGTCTTCTTCAACATGTGATATTATCTTCCTGCTTATTGTCTTAGCCATGTTTCGGTGTTTTACCTTTATGTATGTGTGTTTAATTTTTTTAAATACATTTCTTTATTGGTTTCAGAGAGGAAGGGAGAGATAGAAACATCAATGATGAGAGAGAATCATTGATCGACTGTCTCCTGCACACCCCCTATTGGCGATCGAGCCCACAACCCGGGCATGTGCCCTTGGCTGGAATTGAACCTAGGACCCTTCAGTCTGCAGGCCGAGGCTCTATCCACTGAGCCAAACTGTGTTTAATTTTTTATTGTGGGGTGTTACAAGTACACTCAGAATCAGAACAGTGTAACGATGCCCCATGTTCTACCAATCAGCAACCCCTACCCAGTCTTCCATACGTCCACTTGCTCCTCTCCTGTATTGTTTTAAAGTAAATCCCAGAATTTTTATGATTTCATCTGTAAATAACAAATGCCTCTACATGATATGAACCTGGAAAATATAACCACAGGACTATTATACCAAAAAAAACAAAAACAAAAAATAACAAATATCCCATCAGGGTTCAAATTTTCAATTGTCTTACAAAATCCTAATTGCTTTGTACCTTTTTCGTTTGAATCCGGGTACAAATTAAAGTAGGCTGACCCATGACACCCTGGTTGGTGTCTCTTAAATCTCTCTACCTTTATCTTATTTTTTCCCCCTCTTTTATTGAAATTTATCTGTGGGAGAAACTGCGCTGCTTGTCCTCTGGGATCCCCCAAATCTGAGTGTCGTTGGCTGTCCCTCTGGGGTAGCCCAGCGTGCTTCTCCTCCGTCTGCGTTTGTCTGTGCATTGGGGCTGGAGGTAGAAGCTCGGTCGGGTTCCGGCTGGGCTCCCGCGGCCCGGGCCTGACCAGCCTCGCCTTGCTGTCCCCCGAAGCTGCACCAGAGCCAGCTGGAGCTGCAGGAGGTGCGGCTCTCCTGCCGGCAGCTGCAGGGGAAGGTGGAGGAGCTCACGGAGGAGAGGAGCCTGCAGAGCTCGGCCGCCACCAGCACGTCCCTCCTGTCCGAGATCGAACAGAGCATGGAGGCCGAGGAGCTGGAGCAGGAGAGAGAGCAGGTGCTGCTCCCCACCCCTGCCACTCGGGCACGGGAGGTTCCCGGGGGACCCTGGGCGGGCCCTGACTTTGGGAGCCCCGCCGTCCCCCTCTGCCCGGTGCCGGCTGCCTCAGCGGGAGCCGGTGCGAGTCGCCAGAGCCTCGTAGAAATGCTTGTTCACTAGTCGTTAGCCTCACCTCTTACCCACAGGGTCCCAGTCCTCCGTGATTGCCCACCGGGCTGCTTCTCATAACCACTCCTCCCCCCAGAGCAGCCGCCTAAAGAACCAAGTGCTTTATGTGGCGGATGGGAGGGCCTAGAGGGCCGGGAACAGAAGAATGGGATCCTGTGTAGATGTCCTGGCCCATATAACTGTCCATACTTCTGGAACAGAGGATTTTAAGAAGATTCTGCTGGAACAGGATCTTAGACACCTAGGTGCACATAGGAAAAGAGGGGGGGCGGGGGACGGAACCCTCCCGAGCCCGTAATCAGGGTGATTCTCCCACGGGGCAGCTGAGACTGCAGCTCTGGGAGGCCTACTGCCAGGTCCGCTACCTCTGCTCACACCTTCGAGGCAACGACAGCGCCGACTCGGCCGTCTCCACGGACTCCTCGATGGACGAGTCTTCGGAAACCTCGTCCGCCAAGGACGTGCCGGCCGGCAGCCTGCGCACGGCCCTCAGCGAGCTCAAGAGGCTGATCCAGAGCATCGTGGACGGCGCGGAGCCCACGGTAAGAGCCAGGCGGAGTGGGGGTGCCCGTCCCTGCAGGACCTGGCTGGTGGGGGTGAGCGCCAGGCGTGCGAGTCGGGGCTGAGAGCCAGGGTACGGAGGCTCAGGGACCCTGTCTCTGTGTCGTGGGCGCAGCCCTGGGCTCAGGGGCAGGGCTTTCCATGGAAGCTTTGAAATCGGGGCTTTGGATCCAGGCAAACACTCAGGTCACTTCTCTGCAGCCCATTGGGGGGGGGGGGGGGGGGGCGGGGAGTCAGCTCTGCACAGGCACACGGGAAAGGTCCGGAACTTCTGCGGAGTGCGTCTGAGTGAGACGGGGTTGAGAGATGGACAGCAGGGCCTTCGGAATCCCAGATGCGGGTCCTCTGGAGGAGGGGCAGTCCCAGGCGCTGACCGCCTGCTGCCGCCTCTACCCTCCCGCGCTCTGGGGAGCGGTTTCTGCTCGGGGGTCATGGAGTGGCTGTGAAGGAAGACGGGAGGCTGGCCACCCTGAGCCACACGCCGTGGGGACTTGTGGGTCGGGTTGCAATCAGAGACTGGGCCATGGCTGGAGGGACGTGGGCTGTTACGCCACGCCACCTTCCCTGGAGCCTGACACACACAGGTCCACGTCTAGCTGCGGCCTGCTGATGAAACTGAGCAAGAGAGTCTCTCCTCTAATCTTCCTCCTCCCTTTGTCTCTCCTCTCTCCTCCCTGCTCTCCATCCCACCTCCTGCTCTTTCTCTTTCTCTACCATCACTCCCCTCCACCCTCACCACGCTGCCCTCTCTCCTCCGTCTCCCTCCTCCCCCTCACCTCCTCCCTGGCTGGCTGGCTCGCTCTGTCTTGCCGTCAGAGCTCCCGGAGAATTGAGGATGACTCCTTAGAAGAACAGATAAGGCAGACCAGTGAGGATTCGAGAGCCCTGAGGGAACTCATGGAGGGAGAGAGGGGTAAACTGAGGCAAAGCCTAGAAGAGCTGCAGCAACTCCACAGTCAGGTGAGCACCCGTCCGCGGCCTGGCGCCTCCCCGTGCCCCGCCGAACAGGGCTCTCCCTGTGCCCACTCCCCGAGGGCAGGGACTGAGGGTGAGGTGAGGTGGCGACTTCAAGGGAAGAAGCCAGCCCTGGGTTCAGCCCTCAGTCTCGTTCAGGGAGGAGAACAGCTGACCCCGCGACCCTTCGTCCACGCTGCCTCTGCAGAGCCGGGGCATGTGGTTCTGTCTTCAGTGGCAGCCACAGCTCAGGCCCCAGGGGTTTCCAGCAGCTTTTTTTTTTTTTTTTTTTTTTTTTTTTTTTTTTTTTTTACAGAGAAGAAGAGAGAGGGATAGAGTTAGAAACATCGATGAAAGAGAATCATTGATCAGCTGCCTCTTGCACACCCCCTACTGGGGATGTGCCCGCAACCAAGGTACATGCCCTTGACCGGAATCAAACCCGGGACCTTTCAGTCCACAGGCTGACGCTCTATCCACTGAGCCAAACCGGTTACGGCTCCAGCAGCTTTTGAGCAGGGAAGTTTGAAACCAAGGATCGGTCTTCACACCGCCTCTGTGGGTGCATCCCCTCGGCTTTGGAAGCACTTAGGCTGCACGCACTGCTCCTCCCCCTGGTGGTGATGGCTTTCCTGTCTCCCGAGAGGGACACCTGCGTTCTGACCCAGAGGGTTTTTGTTTTTTTGTTTTTAATATATATTTTATTGATTTTTTTTTTACAGAGAGGAAGGGAGAGGGATAGAGAGCTAGAAACATCGATGAGAGAGAAACATCGACCAGCTGCCTCCTGCACACCCCCTATTGGGGGCGTGCCCGCAACCAGTGTACATGCCCTTAACCGGAATCGATCCCGGGACCTTTCAGTCCACAGACCGACGCTCTATCCACTGAGCCAAACCGGTTTCGGCGTGACCCGAAGGGTTTAACGGCCTCAGGAGCCAGCCTTCGGGAAGGAGCTTCCGACGTGTCCCGGGCGATAAACACAGGCTTCCTAGTGACCAGGGCCAGGGGTCGAGGTTCTGTCCCATGTGGGGGGACACCAAGCAGGCAGTCTGTTAAACCCTGCCCCCCACCAGCCTGCCCGTCTCTCCTTGTCTAAAGCTAGTCACCCCTCCCTGCCCGGGACCCCACCCCCACCCCCACCCCCACCCCCACCCCCGGGCAGATGAGAGGGAATTGCAGCCTAGCTTTCAGCTTTCGCTTCAGTCCATCTTTCTACCTTTAAAGACCGACTGGAAGTAAATGCTCGTCTTTCTGTGGGCTGTGCCCCTTAGACTTCCTAGCGCTCTCCTGGAGCGGGGTGGGGGCTGACACAGGACAGGACAGAGGCTATTGAAAGCCGAAGCTTGTTCCAGGCCGAGTGTGGGAGTGGGTCTGGGCAGCCACGACACCCAGTCCTGGGGGCCAGGCGGGGGTTCAGGCGGGGGACAGGCCTGTGAAACCGGGAGAGCAGGAGAAGGTGATCTGAAAGTTGTGGGATACACACAGGCTGTGTTCACTTCAAGCTCATTTATATTTCTGCCAGTGCTTGTCCGTGCTTTGATCTCGGCTGTCTTTTGTTTTGTTTGGTTGCTTCTCAGAATTGGGGAGTCCCACCCAATTCTGAGAAACCCCCGGAGGGCGTGGTCTCATTCAGAAGCATAAGCACGGCTAGGTTGCTGGGAGTCTGACGAGGAACTTTTTTCTCTTTAACTTACTGATTTGAGACCCAGAGAGAAACATCGGTGTGCTGTTCCTCCCGTGTCTGTGTTCACGGGCTGATTCGGTCTGTGCCCGGCTGGGACCCACGCGCCAGCCCTGCGCTCTGGCCAGGCCTGCGGGCTCTGTTCCCCCTTCCCCTCTCCGCCCGGAGGACTCTCCCTGACACCCGCCCAGGCTCCGCCTTCCTCAGCCTCAGGTCCTGGTCGGGTTTCATGACCTTGGCCCTGCTGTGTCGTGCTTGCCCTCGGTAACCTCCCATCTCCACGGTCCCTCGGCCCCACGAAAACCAGCTCGAGGTCTGATGTCCCTTTTGTCTTCTCCCAAAGCTCCTAGCACAGTGGCTGGTCACAGGACTGTCCAGTGAAAGGCAAACAAAGCCCGGATATTCAACTTCCCGGTGTCTTCTCCGATGCTATTCCGTCTCGAGGAAGGCCGCCTTATTTGGGAAAGGTGGGCTGGGGGTGCTGGACCCTGTCGTTGTGTAAAAAGCCAGACCAGTCCTCAGGACCACCATCAGCAAGCCGCCCGTGAGGGGGTTGGAGGGAGGGGGGGGAGAGATGGAGGATGGGATGGGGGAGGGGGAGGAGAAGGGTGCAGAGCTTACAGCCAGGCGGCAGGCACCATGCGGGACGTTGATGTCACTCATCCATTGGATCCTCACAACAGCTTGATGGTGGGAAATACCTGTATTCTTGATTTTTATGGAAAGTAGGGCCGAAACCGGTTTGGCGCGGTGGATAGAGTGTCAGCTTGCGGACTGAAAGGTCCCAGGTTTGATTCCGGTCAAGGGCATGTACATTGGTTGGGAGCACATCCCTGATGGGGGGTGTGCAGGAGGCAGCTGGTCGATGTGTCTCTCTCATCGATGTTTCTGGTTCTCTATCCCTTTCCCTTCCTCTCTGTGAAAAATCAATAAAATATATTTAAAAAAAAAAAAAAAAAAAAAAAGTAGGTGTACTCGGAAAGGGTGAGTCCCTGTCACTTCTGAGGCAGAGCTGGTGAGCTCTGTCTTGACCAGGTTTTCCAGGCCAAGGCAGAAAGCTCTTGTTGAGCTCGGCCAGCACAGCCCAAGGGTTGAGCTTTGACCTGTGAACCAGGAGGTCACAGTGCGATTCCCAGTCAGGGCACTTGCCTGGGTTGTGGGTTCGGTCCCCAGTAGGGGCCGCACAGGAGGTAGCCGGTCAGTGATTCTCATCACTGATGTTTCTGTCTTTCTCCCTCTTCCTTCCTGAAATCAGTGAAGTTCTCGCTGGGTTCTATCTGGAGCCCATTGAATGGCAGCACTGCCTGCCCGGCACGTACTTTATCTGTTGCTCACTCAGCGAGGAGCGCCTGGCTGCCCCGCTGGCTGAGCTCACGTCGGGCTCACAGGGTCTCCGGGTGCCTGGCTGTTTCTGCGGCTGCTTTCTGGGGCCTGGTTCCTGGTTGCCAAGTGCAGGACCGGCTACCAAGTAGGGCAAGGCTGGGCTTTTTGCCCGCTGCCCTGTCTGCCTCGGGCGGGATGAGCCGCACATGCGTGTCCTGCCTCTGCGGGGTGAGCCGCACATGCGTGTCCTGCCTCTGCAGGTGCCCCAGCCTGTTCTGCCCTAAGGCTGCTCACCCTGCTCACTGCTGTTCCCACCTCACAAGCACCAGGGCCTGACGTTCCTTACCAGGCAGCCAAGAGAATGAAACCTGTTGCCCTAGTGACGGTCCTGTGTCCCTCTTCCTGGTGGGCGTCTTACTGGGCAGTCTGGACGTCTGCAGGGAAACTCCATCTTGAGCCTCAGTCCCAGGCCTTGGCTCAGCCTCATTCTGGGGGATGGTGGGCCCCGGGCCGCGAAGAGCCAGGGAGTAACCCAAAGGTGACTCTACCCCAGAGGGAGGAGCAGGCCTGTGTGGAGGGAGCCTCCCTTGGAAACAGTCAAAAGAACGAGTGATGTTTAACCAGAGGGAGGAGGCCTCTGGCCGTGATTGGATCCTGTCACCTGTGAGAAGGGCCCAGCCCTCCAGTCATTCCACAGAGCCGTCCTAGCGCTCCGCCCGGCAGGCTGTCTGTGGCAGACCTTCACTGAGGCAGGAACAGAAGGCCTGGGCATGACACCTGACCTCTTCCAGAACCACAGGGAGGCCAGAGAGCTGAGCTCCGGTACAGGAAGGAGCCGTGGGAAGTGCACAGCCTACTGTTCATGCAACACTGCCAGGGTCTGAGGCAGTGCGGGGGGTGGAGGCGTGACAGGCAAGGCTGAGGCTCACCCCCAGGGCCCTCGGAAAAGACACGTCTCTCCCCTTTGGACCCCCCAGTATGGAGGGCATGCCTGTCTCCCACCGAGACTCACAGCCTGTAGCACCCGGAACAGGGAGGGAGCTGGGGTGATGGCTAGCCAGAGAAGTCACAGCTGGCCACTTCCACTCACTGCACAGCCCCGGGGGGTTGGGCATCACAGGTGCGGCTCTGAGGTGCAGATAGCTGAGACGTGCTTCCTGCCATCGGAGCTCAGTGTGCCGGGGTCGCCGTGCCGCCAAGGCGCTCGCCCGCGGAGGCCGGCTGTGGTGTCCGCTGAGGCCCCGGGCGCGGGAAGGATGGCGGGTCTGAAGGGGGAGGCGGTAACATCCCTTTGGCGTTGGAATTGCCTGCACTGTGACGGGGGCGGGGGGGGGGGTGGGTAAGCGTGAAGGTGGAGACGCCAGGCCAGGCAGGGTGCTGTCCAAAGTGGGACCGGGTCCCAGGCTCTCGCCGGCCAGGTCCTGCGCTGACAGTGCTCCTTGTTGAGTTTCTTCCAAAAACTGTGTGTTTCCAAGCCTGGTGCGTGTGTAGCTTCCTCCGTTCGTTCCTGGGATCGCCCTGGAATAGAGGAGGTGGTGCGGTGGGCCATGGCGGAGGGGATCTGGCCCCACGGCTGCTCCACGGCCACTGGCCCTTGCCTAGGAGGTGGCCTCCTTTCTCCGAGACGGGCCTCCCCCGGGGCAGTGGGCAGAGACCAGCCTGCCTGGCACCCAGGCCCCGCACTGCCCGGAGGCTCCCGCTCCTCTCCCCTCTAGGAGGGAGACCTCCTGCCGGCAGCGGCAGCACCGCCACACCCACCCGTTTGGCTTCCCTGCAGGTGACTCTGCTGAGTGTGGAGATGACTGCACTCAAGGAGGAGAGAGACCGACTCAGAGTGACGTCTGAGGACAAGGAGCCGAAGGAGCAGCTTCAGAAGGCTGTCCGCGACCGGGACGAGGCCATCGCCAAGTGAGTGAGCGCGGCTCCTTTCCTCCACGCATCACAGGGAGCGTGCCTGGGGCTCCGTGTTCACAGTTAACACCCCTCAGAGGAAGAGGAAAGTGAGAGTTTCCCTGCTCCCCCCTCACCCCAAACCCATTCCTCCCTCCAGGCAGACGCTACGCTGAGAGCTGGGTGGGCCTTGTCTGCAGGCCTCTCTCCTGTTCGGGTGCAGTGTAGTTGCCGTGGACTTTTGAATAGCATCAATGGGTGATGCTCTACATGTGCTGTTTTTCCCCCCACTTACATCTGAGAGAGCCTTCCGATTCATTATAAATGTACTCGAGGCGTTCCTCAGCCTGGCCTGTGCCCTCTCACAATCCAGGACCCTTCGGGGAATGTTGGAGGCTCGGTGCACAGATTTGGCCTGATCCCTGCAGGCCAAGGAGTCCCACCAGTGCATGAACCTGTGCACCAGGCCGGTTTCAGCCCGATCCCTGCAGGCCAGGCCAAGGGACCCCACCTGCACCGAGCCTCTGGTATGCATGTAAGATTTTTGTTTAATCTCTTCCCTTCCTCCCTCCTCCCCCTTCCCTCTGAGATTCATCAGTCTGTTCCATGTTTCCATGCCTGTGCACTGTCTGCCCCCTGGTGGTCAGTGTGCATCATAGCTTCCGGTGGAGCAGTTGGATGGTCGCTTAGGCTTTATATATATGAATATCTACCTGAACATTTTTATTTTGGGGTGGGTTTGTGTGTTTTTTTAATTTCTATTATGGACATTTTCAAGCATACACAGAAGTAGAAAAGATAGACCCCTTCTTACCCTCCCTCAGCTTCCACACTGATCAGCACGAGGCTAGTGTCTGACATCCCCATCCTCGCCCACCGCCTTCTGGAGGTTGTTGAAGAAAATCACAGCACATCCTGTCGGCTCATCTATAAACCCTTCAGTATGGATCTCTACCAGGAAAAGGCCCTTTCTGTAAAACACAACCCACAGTACAGTTCTCACACTTAAAACTTACAGTAATGTCTTATGTCATCTAGTATCTGGGGTTCAGATTTTCCCTGTTGTCCCAAAAATCTTTTTGTAATTGATGAGACTCAGACTCCGAAGGCTCTCTTTACTTGATATATCCCCAAGTCTTCCCCTCCTTTTTTTAAATCCTGCCTTTATTCATTGAAGAAACTGTGTTGTTTCAGAGTTTACATTCTGAGTGTGATTGCATCCTCCATGTGTCATTTAACATCTTTCTCTGTCTCCTGTATTTCCAGGAAACTGTAGCTTTTTAATGTGGGTTTTCTTGAGCTGAGAAGAAAAGGTATAAATGCATTCCCTTACATTCAAAAAACTTGCAAGTACATAAACAAAACACATATTTACCTATTCCCCAAATGTGTTAAATTTTTTTTTTAATATATTTTATTGATTTTGTACAGAGAGGAAGGGAGAGAGATAGAGAGCTAGAAACATCGATGAGAGAGAGTCATCAATCAGCTGCCTCTTGCACACCCCCTACTGGGGATATGCCCACAACCAAGGTACATACCCTTGACCGGAATTGAACCCGGGACCCTTTTGTCCCCAAGCCGACGCTCTATCCATTGAGCCAAACTGGTCCTGGCCAAATGTGTTAAATTTTATTAATCCTCACCCAAGGATATTTTTCCATTGATTTTTTTTTTTTTTTAAGAGAGAGTGAAAGGGAGGGGGAGAGACAGAAGCATCGATGTGATAGAAACACATCAATTAGTTGCCTCCTGCACACGCCCCAACCAGGGGTAGGGATGGAGGTTGCAATCAAGATACGTGCCCTTGACCTGAATAGCATCTGGGACCCTTCGATGAGGACCAACGCTCTATCCACTGAGCCATACCACCTAGGGCCCAAATTATTTCTTATGCCCTCAGTCTAAACCCTTTTCTAGGAAATTCTTGAAAAACCTTATAAGCTTGGTTTTGAACTCTATATCCAGTCACTTTTTGTCTCCCATTTCTTTTGTTTGTGATCTGTTTCCTTGTCTCAGCATTTTCACAGCTTCCCTGAGTTGGTAGGGTGGCTTTGTGTGCTAAGGTGTCCTATATGGTTCAGTGGGTCAGCCTCCCAGTTACCTGAGGTGGACAGTCTTGGTGTAGCCCTTTGTGGGCTGTGTGTGCAGTCTTGTTGTTAAGCCTTGCTTGTTGTTGGTATCACTGGGAAGCGTTGATCTCCAAGCCAATTGGCTATGAGGATCAGGAGTGTCTCAGCTCGGAGGGTTTCTGTTTTCTGCTTGGATGGGGCGGAGTCTCGGGGTGGCACAGACAAGCTTTGGTGAATCCAGTAAGATTGGTTGCAGGCGCACGCACCTCTGGTATGGGCGCAGACAAGCTTTGGATTCCTGTCTGTCCCTCCCTAGGAAGGTCCGATTCACGGCAAACGAGAAAGCTGGCCACTAAAAGGGCTTCTGTGCTCCGCTTGGATGGGGCAGAGACTCAGGTGGTGCAGACAAGCAGTAATGGCCGCTGGCTTCACACACACTCTGAGAGATCTCTGCCCTCTTCCTGACAGTCTGGCCTTTCCCTGTCTGGGGCTGTCTATCAGAGCAATAGGGTGGTTCTGTTTTCCTCCCGAACAAGAAAGCCAGCCGTGCTGTCCGCCTTCTCCGTGTGCCGGGAGTGAGCCAGCAGCGAACTCGGCCCACCCTCTCCGCGCTCCACAAGCAAGCCGGCAGCAAAGTCGGGCGGCCGCCTTTTCGCGTGCGCAGTTCTCCAAACCTTCACAGTTCCTGAGGTTCAGCGTGCCTTCTCTCTCCTTCCCAGATGGTAGAGCCTCCTCTCTCCAGCCGTCCGGCGCTTTAGGGTGATGTTTCCCCTGTTTTTCAGTTCTAAATTTAAATTTGTTGTGGTGGGCTGCATTCAGGTGTCTACCCTATGCCGCCATCTTGGTTTCTTCTCCATTTCTTAGTTTTACCTTTGCATCTCTTTTTCCTATCTGGTCGATTCATTTAGGAATTTTACTCTCAGTGAGGCTCACAACCTATATGTTGTCCAATGAACTCAAAGAGAGTCTGGAGATTTTTGGCTAAAATTACATGATCTATTATTCAAGGGGGTTAAAGTGGGTGGGTTGGGAACCCAGCTAAGCAGAAACCCACGAAGTGTTCCAGAGGAGGAGGAGAGTGAAGGCCCGCATTCTCAGCCCTCGGATTGGTCCAGGCATCACCGGGCTGGGGTCAGGTTGTCTGAAGGCATCCCTTTTCCTGGGCCGCCCGCATCCTAAGGATTCCCTAATTTATCCTCGCTGGCCAAGGGCCCTCACTAAAAGCAAACCAAACTCTAGGGCTAGCATTCTAGTTTATAAAAACAAAAAGGAGTCTGTTACTAGTGTTTTCATTTAAATGAGGAATTCTAGCCCCTTAAAATATTCCTTTTAAAATCTCTGGTCGGCATATGGGTTAGTGGTTTCTGCAGTTTTGCTTTCTGGTTTGGCTGGAAGGTGGCGGGGCAGTTGGGGTAAACTTAAATTTCTGACTTTAAAATTCCCCACACCGCAGAAACCGGTTTGGCTCAGTGGTAGAGTGTCGGCCTGCGGACTGTAAGGTCCCGGGTTCGATTCCGGTCAAGGGCATGTACCTTGGTTGCGGGCGCATCCCCAGTGACCGGTGTACAAGTGGCAGTTGGTTGTTTCTCATGGACGTTTCTAGCTCTCTCTCTCTCCCTTCCTCTCTGTAAAAAACCAATAAAATATATAATATTAAAAAGTAAAATAAAATTCCCCACACCTTTCCCTTCTCACACCCTCACCCACTCCCCACCTTTCTGTTTTCATTCATTTTCATCATCTCCATTCCTTAGTTTTCTATTATTTTTCTAATATGAATCCTATTATTTTTTAAATTTTTTTGCCTTCTCCTTCTCACGAAGGGCAAGCACCCGGATGCCCTGGTGCGCGGGCAGAGGTCGGCCTGGAGGGGGGCCCTGGCTCCTGGCGCATTCCAGGAAGAAGACCCTCCTCCAGCTCGGCCTCCCCTCCCCTGCAGCGTTACTCAGCACATTCCGGGTCTCCCGGCTGCTCTGGCGCCACCTGCCGGGGGCCGCCCGCAACTCCAGAGGCGGCCGCGGGGCGGGGCGCTGCGGAGCCTCTCTGACAGGCTGGGCGTCCCTGGCAACCGGCTCCAGGAGGACTTCCGCCTGTGCCGCTGGCCAATCGCGGCGGGCGTGACGGCGCTGCGCTGTCTGAGACGCCGGCGCCCATTGGACAGGCTCCGCTCTGCAGCCGCATTGCAGCGGCAACCCCGGCCGGCTGTCCCGAGCGGCTTCTCCCGGAAGGGCGGGCGGGGCCCTGTCTGAGGCGGTGGGGTGTCAGGGGAGGTGGCCTGGAGGCCAGTGTGGAAGTGCCGGTCATGGCGGTGGCCTGAGTGCTTTACCCCAACCGCCCCGCCTTCCAGCCGCGCTTAGCCCGGTGCGCTCCTGAGGCTGGAGCTGGGCGGCCTCAGCAGGCGGGGCCTCCGGTTGTGGCCGTGGGTCGCTGGCCCTGTGCAAGGAGGACACTTGCCAGTCTTCTAGTGTCGAATGCAAAAGGAATGAAGACAAGAGCTAAGAGATGCTCGTTTTGACAGCAAGGCAACCAGTGCCGCCTCTGCAGAGGCGGCCCCTTCAGCCTCCAGCATTTTTATTCCCATCCCCCTCCTGCTCCCCATTAATATTATTTTGCCTCGAGCCAGAATTTAGCAGTGTTGGGCAGTGTTTACAAAGTAGTGTGCGTAAACACTTCACAATTAAAATGCCAAAGTGTGTGAGCGTTTACCCGTCCACGATCATCGTCCAGAGATAACGAAGTAGACATTTTTGCCTGCGACCTTGTATACACACAGGCACCCTTTCTTTTCCGAAGCAAGTATATCCGCCCTTGTTTTCTGGTGCTTTCCGCCCCCAGGTCCAAATACATGGTGAGTAATCTACCACCAGGCTCTCCTTGTCGGCTCCTGTGATTAGCTGAGCTGTGATCACCCCTTTGTGGCCACCTTTGCACACGTACCTCTTAGATCCCTTAAGAAAATGGGGGGGCCGGGAGGACAGAGGCCCCCACCGCTCACAGAGACTGGCCTTTTGGGAGAAGGATTAGCAGCTCTCAGTGCTGGTTGAGGCTTTTGCTTCTTGCCTGTGAGATGGGATGACAGATAATCCCTCCCCTGCGGGTTGGTTAGGAGAATTGAGAACAGTATGTGGAAGCAGGCTGTGAGCTGCACAGCCTTCCGAAGGCGCAGCATAGTTACTGTCCGTTACGAGGTTAGGGTCAGAGCCGGTTTCCTCACCGGGTGGTAAAGAGCCACGCTCACGGCTTGTCTGTTTCCAGGAAGAACGCTGTGGAGCTAGAACTCGCCAAGTGCAAGATGGACATGATGTCTCTGAACAGCCAGCTGCTGGACGCCATTCAGCAGAAACTAAACCTCTCCCAGCAGCTGGAGGCTTGGCAGGTAAGGGCGGGGAGGACGGGCTCCGGGAAGCTGTGAGTGCGGGCAGCGTGTACGGAGTTGGGTGCTGGCCGAGGATGACCTCGGGAGCAGCGGGCCCAGGCTGTGCTGCGGCGACCTCCAGGCTGGGCACGGGCCTCCGCAGCTTTGTCCCATTGGCTGGAGAGAAACCGCGGTGGGAAGCCCGGTGACTGCACGCACACAGCCCTGAGGCCGCTGCAGCTGCTGTCCTTCCCTTCTCCAAGGCCAGCTTCCTTTTGCGGGAGAGCCCTGTGCCCGTGTGAGCCGGGCACAGTGAGCTAGTGCGTCTCTCTGGCCCACCCCTCAGCCCCACAGGCTCTCCTCGGGGCCAGGGCTGCACTGGCTCTCGGCTAACGGCGGCCCGGCCAGGGTAGGACAGTTCGGACCATTCAGAACACGGGTGTGGCCTTCCCAGGGGAGCCCCACGCCCCGCTGTGCAGGGCCCTGAGCCCTGACCCTCCCTCCACGCCGAGCGGGGCCCCGGCTCACGTCCTGTTCTTTTCTCTTCTCTCCCGGCTGCAGTTCGCTTCCTCAGGGCTTTTTACTATCTGGCTCCTTTGGTTTCTGATCTAGTGGCCTTTCTCAGTTCCCGTGTCAACAGCTTTAGTTGTACACCCCTCCTGCCTTTGAGGTGAGATTGCGCTCTCATCCCACCCGCCCGCCCCTCTGCCATGAACGTCCGTCCCTGTCGCACCTCGTGGCCCACCGTCTGTGCCGGAGTCCGGCGTCATCTCCGCCCCCGTGCGCCATGCCATCGAGCCCGCCTCTCCGCCCGTCGTCACCACGTCCGTGAGCGGGGCAGCATGTGGCCCGGTGCTGACAGGCCGGCCCTGGTTTCTTGGTGGCACCTCCTCAGAAACGGGTTGCTTTGCCCACAGAAGTAACGGCAGGTGTGGGATTATGAGCAGCTTATTTAGGCGTGCGTGTGTGTGTGTGTGTGTGTGTGTGTGTGTGTACGATGTTCTAAAGTGACATAAGCATAAAAACGCGGTGTGCGATGTGCCAGCGTAAACTGGCAGCTTGGAAATGGCCATCCGGCCTCGGTGCAGGGCCCGTGCTGTGGGTTAGACACGGACAGGGCTGCAAGGAGGGAGCAAGTCTCCCGTTTCTGAGTGGAGGAGGAGGAGGGTGCAGGAAGGGCGAGTGTGACGCATACTCGTCGGGATGGAAGGAGCGAGAACAGGATGTGGTCAGAGGGAAGAAGAGCTGCCCAGCGGGCGGCCGCCTGGTGACGCTAAGAAGTCTTTGCTTCGCACGGACACCAGCAGACACTGGTGACTCCGCTGGGAGAGCTGGGGGGGGGGGGGGGGGCAGGAGGTGATGGACGAGCTGCTCCCTCACAGGGAGGGCCCGCAGCCCCCTCTGCGCTCAAGTGAGTGGTTGCCCTGACCTTGGGGAGCAGGCCAGGGGGGAGCCCAAGGCTCAGGCTTTTCCCAGGGCCTGCAGCGTTCAAGATGCTTGCTGTTTCCTGCTGCTGTGACCTAGACAGGGTGCCTAGATCTCCAAGCCTACAGTGTTCCCGCTGTGCGGGCGGCAGAGTGCCTTGTCAAAGGAGTCTCGCACAGAATAGAGTGGAGCTGCGTCCAGAGGCTCCTCTGAGGTCAAAGCTGCCGTTCTGTGAGGTGGGGTCGGGGGAGGGGCGTTTTCTAGGCAACGGGACCCCATTGGAAGGGGAAGGTGCTCCCCAGTGAGGAGGCTGAGGACGAGGCCTGGTGAGCAAGACGAGCCCTGAGGCGGCGATGGGAGCCTCGCAAGAAGGGGCCGTGCATGTGGTCGGTGGCAGGCAAGGGAGGCACCAGGGAGTCCGTCCTGGTCACGTGCAGTTGCCGGTGTGTTGCTCAGGCCGAAGGGGAAAGGGGCAGAAGCCAGCACTGGGCTGAGAGCCCACAAGCTGAGGTTGCCATCAGGGGCAGGCACCCACCCAGCCTCAGAGGTCACAGGAGGCAGAGCAGAGAGCCGGGACAGTGTGGAGACAGACAGGAAGTACCAGCTGCAGGCGCTCTGTGGGGTCAGCCGAGGGGTAGCCTGTGGAGGCGGCGCCTGGCTCGTGTGTCCCGGGATCTCCACCTGCTTTCTTGGTTGAGGCAGCCCCTCACTCATCTCCTCCCTCATCATCCTCATCTTCATCTCATCTCCTGTCCTTCGGTCCCTCAGACGTGTCACCTCCCTGCCCACACCTCCCTGCCCATCCCCACGTCGGGACTCTGCCCTGCTCAGCCCCTCCGCTCTGCTCTCTGCAGGATGACATGCACAGGGTCATTGACCGGCAGCTGATGGACACGCACCTGAAGGAGCGGAGCAGGCCTGCTGTCGCCCTCTCCAGGGCCCGTGGCGCAGGGCGTGGGGTCGAGCCCAGCACCGCTGAAGGCAAACGGCTATTCTCATTCTTCAGGAAAATTTGAGTTGGGAGGAGTCAGGCCAGCGAGGACGGGGGGGCCTGGAGGCGACAGGGTGCGGGTGAGGCCCAGTGCACGGCGTTCACGGGCAGGGGCTCCCCTGCCGGGCTCCGTGGGGCACTGCCTGCCCGCACCGGCCATTCCTCCAGGAGGGCCTGCCGGCCTCTGAGGCTGCCCTTGGTGGAGGGACAGGCTCCTGCCTGTCCCCATGGCCCAGCCCAGCCCAGCCTGGGCTTCCCTAGGATCCGCTCAGGCTGCCCAGAGCAGCCCACCCCTCAGTGGCTCCCTCACCCAACCCTGGCTGCTGCCCTCCCTGTGGGATCTGGGGACGGGAGAAACAAGCCCTCTGCATCCTCAGGAGGCTGCCGCTGCCTGCCCACCGTGGGGGCCGAGCCTGCAGGGCACCACGCCCAGGCCTGAGCCTCCTTCCTCCCCAAGCCCTGGCCCAGGGAGTAAGAGGGGCGGCTCCTCCCCCATGTGCATGCACCTCCGCCAGGAGCACCTCCGCCAGGAGACCCAGCCTATGGGGCCCGATGGCTGTTCTTGTGCTCTCGGCCACAGCGGGCTCTGCAGAGGCTTGGCCGGGCCATCCCGAGCCCAGAGGAAGATGACCTGCCCCCTGGCGCCACCGCGCTCCCTCTCCGGCTGCGCCAGTGCAGGCCTCCCCCCAGCCGGTCTTCCCACAGGTCCTCTGCAGGCTTTCGCCATCCAGCCCTCCCCCTTCATGGGCCACGGCTGGGAGGGGTCCCAGCCTCCCGCTCCCCTCACCTATCCAAGTTCTTGGTTCAGCCAAGCAAGTCTAGGACACAGAATGGCCCCAGAAGGCTCTGCAGCCACCTCCACCTCAAGGGCAGCGCTGTCACCGTGGGTGACGCCTCCAGATACTGCCCACTGGGCCTGCAGAGGGATGAGTCCTGCCACCTGCTGCCCCCTCAGCAGCACGCCCTTCCCTGCGGCCCTCTCTCCGAGGCTCCGGCTGCGCCCGCCTGAGCTGCCTCACGTGGGAGCAGCCCAGCAGGGATGAGCGGAAAGAATGTATCTATAGATATGTACATACCACAGTGCTGTACTTTTGTATGTAGCAATCATGTAAATACATGTATGGATTTTATAATATACATATTATATATAAATCTATAAAGGCATATTTTTAGAAAAACAGCACACCACTGCTTCTTTTGAAAATAGTCTAAGAATAAATTGAATTTCTACAGAGCTTCCTGCTTGGTCATTGGTGCCCAGAGGGGGTGTTAGAACACAACTTGCCTTTCAGGACCGCCGCTGGCATGAAGAGGCAGAAATAGTGAGCCCCCAGCGCACCTGGGAGGGCACCTCGTACACAGGGGCCCAACCAGGGCGTTCAGCCAGACGGGGCACCTCCCGGGAGGGCGGAGGCACCCTGTGGGTGACAGCTGTTTGGGAGCAGTGGCCGAAGGCGCTGCTCCACGCCCACCCCGGCTGGGCACCCTGCCAGGGAGCCTGCCGTTGCCCAGCCACGGGCAGGCCCTCCAGCTTGGCAGAAACTTCAAGCCCGAGTGAAGTCACGCAGGCGAAGCTCCACTGCATCCTTCCGGACGTGAGGAAGTAAACAGGCGCTTCCCCTGGCATCACCGCTGCTCAGCCAGCGCGTCACAGAGCCTCAGCGCGGACCGGGCCTCCGAGGAGAGTGGACTGGCTTCTCGAGAGGCCCCGGATCAGGACTCGGACAAGAGCCCACCAGAGCTGGACACAATGGTGGGAGAAGCTAGAGGAAACAGCCCTGAAGGAAATTTGGCAGCTTGAACCTTTATTTTTAGTACTTTTTTTAAAAAGCATAATTAGAAACTTTCAATACAGAAATAATCCTAGCAAACCATTTAAAAGTTTTGTTGTTTGACAGGATTTCGCATCAGGTCCACCAAGATGTCGGCCCAGCCCTGTGAGCGCCCCACCCCCACCCCCCATTCATGCGAACACCACTCCGTGGGACAGGCACAGTTGTCACCAAAGTCACCCGCCACCCAGGCCTGGACATCCAGCTGCCAGAGCCATGAGTGTTTCTAGCCGGGGCTGGACACCTCCAGGACCCCTCCTCTTATTGCTTGAGTTTGCAAGCACCGCCACATGGCACCACCTTCATGCTCAGAGTGGAGTGTGCTGCCCACCCAAGATCCATGATCGGCCACCCTCCACAGCACCGCCTCCTGGGCCAAAGCACGCCCCCAACTCATCCTGCGGCTCCAAGTGCAGGCTGTCACACGGAGCCCAGTGTTTTGGCAGTTTGGGGAAGTGGGGAGGCAGGTCAAAGGAAACCCCACGTTTTGATTAAAAACCCCTCAGCAGTGTTAACGAGGAAAATCTGCAGTGTGATCTGTGATGTGATTGTCCAGTCAGGGCTTCACCTGGAAATCGCCAGGAAAGGGAACCTAGTAGAACACCCCACGGTGTTGAAATAAATTATTCCCAGGTTACGTGATCCTTTTAGGGGAAAGGTGAATGAAGTGTCCCAAGGAGGAGGAAAGGGGACAGTAATCAAGTGTAGATAACCCTGGTTTTTCCTCCGAGGGACCAGGGTAGTCTAAGCTGGCTGGCTCCCAGCCGCAGCTGCCATTCCTTCCCACCTGCTAAGGAATCCTCTGCTGCCTTTGCACCAACACAGCTGTCAGTGACCCGAGGCTGCCTGCCACCCAGCTCCGAGGCAAGAGGCGGCATCCCCTGTCTGTGTGGCAGCACCCACGCCCGCGGCGAAGACCCAGGAGCGCAGTGGAGGCCGTGGACTCGCACAGACGAGGTCAGAGGCCTTTCTCCTCTCCTACCAAGAAAGGTCAGGAACGCTCTGCCAAGGGCCCGGCCCACAAAGACCGGAAGCCATTCGCTTTCCCTACCAACACTGGACCCAACGGGAGGCCACCGCTCTCGCTGCCTCAGGAAGAGGAAAGAAGTGTGAGGACCGTAATTCATTTGATGTGGCTTCATTTCCTCAGCCGTTAAAATAATGCTCCTAAGCCCGTTCCTGCATGAACACGCCCTGTCTTTCTGCTGGAACCGAAACAGGTTGGTATAAATAGAAGTACAGCTCCCCTGGGTTGGTAGCTTAGAGGCGTCTAGAAGGCAGGACAAGAAGTCTGTTGGCCAAAGGGCAGGAGTGACTCCTGTGGAACCTTCCAGCTGAGGGCAGGGCCTCTAATGGGAACGCTAGGCCTACATCAAGGCCGGGCCCCCAACTACCGGATAGTTAGGGGGAGGGGAGGGAGAAGGCAGGGGTGTGGGCGAGGCCCTACCTGCCAGGTACAGAGGTCAACGATGGCCTGCAGGAGAGTGAGGAACGTGGAGCCCACTCCACCAGCCCAGGTTGGCAAAAGACGTGGCGAGAACTCGATCCCATCTCCTCGGGAAGCTGCTGGCGGCAAGATGGGGTGGGGAGGGGGGTCTGGTGCGGCAGGCTGGCATTAGGGAGGCAGGCAGAGCAGGACGAGGGTGAGACGGCCGTTAAAGCATATACATTATGTACAAACGGGTTAATCAGTCCGCTCGCTGGCAGCGTCCTCGCTGGGCCCGGCGCCTCGGCCAGGGGCAGGGCACCAGAAGGGAAGGGCAGGTTGTCCAACACCTCCTTGGTACTCGAGGGGGAGGGGAGGAAGTGCCGATGGCGCCTCCAGATACAAAAACGTGGAGAATTCTTAAATAACGGCACGAAGCTGAGACTGTCCCCGAGGGTCCCGGCGGGCCTCGGGCCAGGCGGCCGCAGTGCAGTCTGCAGGGGCTGCGAGGCATCAGCAGCAGCGTTTCTTCCGTTTACTGTTCCTCGTGAGCTTCACCACGTCGTTCTGTTGCTGCTGCTGCTGTTTCGCTAAGTTGTCTTTCTTTGCTCGGAGGACCAGCTCTGTGATGCAGTTGAACATCTGTGAGGAGAAGGAGGCAGGGCGGCCTCAGACCTCGTGTGGAGGCCGTCGCGGCTGCCGCTGCCGGCCAGCAAGGCCCCTCCCATCGCCCAGGGCCCAGCTTTCTATTTCTGCTCGAACTTTTTGGTCTGTGTGTCTCCGACCCTTGTAGGAGGTGGTAACGTGCAGAGGTCAAAGAGGAACATCAAAACCCAATGAGCTGTGTCCTGGAGAAGTCACTCTCAGGATTTTCCAGTCTTTCTTTTAAAGAGAAAGAACCCCTTTCTGGACTCTCTGGACAAGACAGATAAAGGTGCCCCTACTAGGGACTGGTTCGAGGGCCCCAGAGCCTGCCCACTCCGTGCCACCTCTCAGCACATCCAGCCTAGGATCCACCTACCAGCCCACAGTCCTGTCCTCCACTCCACCAGGAACGGTATCATCAAACACTTGACAATTTGCTTCACTTTTTCCTCACAATCCCAGGGACTCTCCCCAGATCCACAGAGGAACACATGGAGCCTAGAGCAATAAGCTCCGCCCCAAGATCACACAGGCCCCACACCACAGGCTCCACGTGGAAAGGCCCGGCCTGGGATCCCGGCCTGACTGAGGCCCAGGTGTCCAGGAGGCAGTGGGGATCCAGCTTCCTGGGCCTCTGGACTCCACACACCATGGACAGAACTCGCCCAAAGCCTTGAGTGTGGGCAGCCTGGGCTTGGGGCAAAAGCCCGCTTTCTCCCACAGACTCCTGCCGCTTCCTGGCAGGCCCCACAGAAGTGCCGGGGGCTGCTGGGTGGGAGGCTCTGGGAGGGATGTGTCCACAGCAGGTGCCACCGGAGCTCTGGAGGCCAAGGCTGCAGAAAAGCCCGAAAGCAGGAGGAGCACAGCTGTGGACCGGGGCAGGGCCAGGGGCAGAGGACTGAGTGGACACTGCATGGCTGCGGTGCAGACCGGTCTAAGCTTGACTTAGCCTCTAACGAGCTGGCACTTCCTTTAGTTGGAGCCTCTGTTTCCCATTTGAAACGGAATAGTCTACCTGAGAGGACTGTTCAGACTGAGCTCGGACTTTAAGGGCCTGGCAGCTACTATGACATGTTCTGTCAGCCACCTGGTGCCTGCAGCAGGCTAGCGGGGGGAGGAGCAGGGTGTGGTGGGGCAGAGCTGGGCCCACTCCCTCCCTGTCCCTGCTCCGAGGGCTCACCTCTTCCACATTGACATTCTCCTTGGCACTGGTCTCAAACAACTGGATCCCCATCTGCCCGGCGAATTTGTAGGCATCTTCTGTTTCCACCACCTTCCGCTCAGGGTCATCATTCTTATTCCCCACTTTAAGGCAAAGCAAAGTCAGCTGGTCCTGCAGGAGCAGCCCTGGCGCCCTCCATCCCCACGGTCCCCACTCCAGGGAGCCCCATCTCACCTAGTATTCGGCACACATCGTCACAGTTCTGGTTAATTTCGTGAAGCCACCGTTTGACGTTGACGAAGGACTCGGCGCTGGTGACGTCATAAACCACGATGACCCCGTGGGTCCCCCGATAATACCTGTAGGGCCAGGGTCTATGTCAAAGCTTCAGCCCACACAGGACCTGTCTGCCCACTTGGAGATTGGCCAGGACCTGGGAGGAGGCAAACCCCTTCCAGCAAGACACCAGAGGCCCCTCCGCCTGGCCTTGCCGGCCAGGCCCGCACTGTGTCCGGCCTACAGCACTGACTCACGCTGTCCCCAAGGCGGCCAACCAGATTGCTCGGCTTCGGCCACTAGCTTGAAACGTCTGAGGTTCTCGTTTTATTTTTAAAATTCAGGCAAGTTTTGCACTTGACATCATATATCACTATCCTTGGTGTGTTTTTGGTTAATCCTTACCACAGGACATTTTTCCCATTGATTTTTAAAGAGAGTGGAAGGGAGAGGGGGAGAGACACACGTCGATTGGTTGCCTCCCACACGCACCCTGACCAGAGCCGGGAGATCAAACCTGCAACCCAGATAAATGCCCTTGCCTGGGCATCAATGCCACAACCCTTTGGTGTGCAGGCCAATGCTCTATCCACCAGCCAGGGCTCACTACCCTTGTTTTAACATTCAAACACTTTCTTCTTAAATTTTAGTAAAATGCCATTCCAAGAAGATGTGCCATTTGTGAAATCTGCCAAGGTCTGCACCCCCCAGGAGACTGGGGGCACCTCGCATCCTGCCCCTCATCCATGCCGGGGCAGGGTGAGCACGGAACACAGTATGGCATGAAGGTAGTGTTGGGGAGAAGGTTTCTCACATATGCCACCACCAAACGTACAGACCCCGCAGAACAGCTGTCACCCACTGGTGGTCCGTGAGGTCCAAAGGTTGGCGACCGCTGAGCTGGAAGGTCTGGGTGGCAGGAGGGATAAGCATCCGCCTCCAGATACCATGTCTCCTTCACTCCCGTGGTTCAGTAGCCAGACGGAGGAAGAGGAGGACAAAGCCTCACACATCCACTTCCCTGGAGAGCCTTCCCGGACCCAGCAGCCGGGAACTCGCCCGTCCAATGCTGTACCACTCAGAGCGGCAGACTCACTACCAGAGCATCCTGAGAACGAGGTACCAGCGCCCACAGCTCTGCCGCCCACTGCCTTGGGGAGCCATTTAGGTTCTGTGCCCTCAGAACCAGCCCTGTCCTCTGCCCTTGCTGCCGAGAGTGCCAGGTTATTACCAATTCGGCTTCGTGGACACCCCTCTGAGCAGCGACGAGTGCCGGAAGAGAACACTGTCCCCGGCCAGGGAAGTGTGCAGAGTGGAATGTATTTCAAACTCTCCTTTGCTGAGACTATGGAAGGTGCCAAGAACTAGCCACGGCCCCAGCCCAGTCCCACCACAAAGCCCCTGGGGGCCCAGTGAGGGCCTTTATCAGAAACAGACTCAGAGCTCTGGCCAGGAGGGTGCCATGCCTTGGGTACCTGTTACCGCCGCCATCAGTAATCACTTCACTCACCACAATTCAGCTCTGCCAGGCCCGCCGCCCGGCGCTTTATCCCACTGCCTACTTAACCTGCAGCAGCCTGTGTGGGCAGGGCGGGGGCCGTCTGACCAGTGAGGACATGAGGCCGAGTGACCTGCCTGGAGTCACACCCCAAAGTCAGGCACCTGGATCTCCCTCCAGGGCCAGGAATCGTCACCTCCCTCCCCCTCTCATCTCATACCCCACACCTCACTCCTCCCCAAACCCACACCCCACCCCCCACAGCCACACCTCTTGGTCAGCAAAACCCAGCTACCAAGAGAGGGTGACAATAGGACTCCTTCTTGGCAGGCTAACAGGGTGTGATCTTAGTTTCTCTTTTAATGCCCTGAATCAAAAAGGCCACACTACTGTGCTCGGCCTGATCCCTGAGAGAACAAGCTCCCAACCTCTGCCAGTGCCCTTCCTCCTCAGCAGCGGCCACACCGGGCCCCTCGGCATGGCCTGCAGAGCCGCTGCCTCGTGAGAGGCACAGTCGGGGACCCCAAGATGGAGCTCTCCTCAGCCTCCCCAGGCACACAGGACGCCAGCAGGGGCCAGGCCGGTGTCACAGTACAGGGTGCAGTGCTGCCCCTTCTCGAGCACCTGAAACACATTGCGCTCAGGCAGCTAAGGAACTGTCTCCCCAACAGAATGAGGAGCTGGGCGCCCCTCCCACCTGCCCCGAGAGAATCTGGTGGTCAGGGGAGGGGCAGTGGCTCCTCTGCTAAAAAGGGCCAGGGCACCACAGGGCCACCGCCCTGCCCGAAGCATTTCTCCCGGCCACAGGCCCGCTAGCCTCGGCTGCCCTGAATTCCCTGACTGGCTTTGACCCACAGGAAGCACTGGAGCATCTGCCACGTCCCAGGCCCTTGGGGGTGAGGGGTCAGCAGAGAGCAGGACTATGGACTGGTTAAAGGCAAGAGCTTTGGTATCAGATCTCAACTCAACTCCTGACTAACCAACCAAGCGGGGCCTCACTTTTTTGTTAATAAAATGGAGGTAACACAGGACTCTTTTTATATCAGGATTAAGTGAAATGAAGTAATGCCCTTTATGACAGGGCAGGTCAGCTGAGGTCAGTGCCTTGGTCTGACCATGACGTCTTGGTCTTGTTTGAGCCTGGACACACTGGCCACCTGAAGGAACCCACCCTCTCCCCCCAAGGAGCCTGACCCCAGAGACCCTAACTCATCGGCAAGGAGCAAGAAAGCGGCACTGGGCAGAGCCAGGCCAGGACCCGTGGGGCTGGGGCTTCTCGGACCACAGTACACAAGTGCTCCCTACACAGCCAGACCGAGACAGACACCCCCCCACCTCCACTGCTCAGGACCCAGCCCCTTGTCCAGGCTACCCAGCCAGCATCCTCTGCTCCCAGCCACCTCTGTAGAGGCTCTTTACCCCTACACGTCCCCCCTCAGAAGATCCTGCAGCCAGCAGGCTGAAGGGAGGAAAGGCATCTCTTCCCAAAAGCCCCCTCACAGGGCTCCCTGGGGCAGACAACGGAGAGGCCACCAAAGAGCAACCACCGCGGGCCAGACACCGGCTCCCGCTCCGGCTCTTACATCACCGGGCGCAGCCCGCTCTGCCGCCCGGGGAGCGGGACCCTCTCGGGAGCTCCAGCGTCTCTCCGGGGGGACAGCAGCACTGCCTGCAGAAGGCTCACTGACACGCTCATGAAGCCCAAGCCCAGACTCCCGGGCACACAGGACTCGGCATCAAAGCAAAGCCTCAAGGTAAACAGACCCTGTGAGAAACCGCAGCACAGACCATTCAGGCAGCTTACCCCCGGTCACAGTGAACAAGAATGTAAATTCTGAACCATTGCCCCAGCTGGTTTGGCTCAGTGGATAGAGCGTAGGCCTGGGGGCTGAAGGGTCCCAGGTTCGATTCCAAGCACATGCCCAGGTTGTGGGCTTGATCCCCAGTAGGGGGCGTGCAGGAGAAAGCCAATCAATGAGTCCCTCTCATCATTAATGTTTCTCTCTCTCTCTCTCCCTCTCCCTCTCTAAAATAAAAAAAAATATTAAAAACAAACAAACTTGGTTCATAATTTTTTTTTTTTTTAAAGTATCATCTGCCTTCAAAGCCCTGCTCTTTCCTGGAACCTGTTCCATTTACAGCCTAAGAACCAACAGCCCCTCCACAGGCTTCCAGGTCGCGCTCCAGCGGGGTTCTCGCCTATTGGCAGCCAAGAGTCACAAAGGTGCTGCGGCACCCACTCGGTGAGCCGGGTTCCCAGGAACCAGCTTTGGGGAAGCCAAGTAATGGCCTCTCACCAGCCTCCTCTGCACCAGTGCCCCCGCCACCCCTCCCCACAGAGCAGCCAGCTCCCAGAGCAGGGTGTGGTGGGCAGCTGCACAGCTGACAACCCAGCAAGTGTTTGACCACCAGGTGAAGCCAGGAGCAGTCCTCCATTTACAGACAAAGGACCAAAGGCAGAGGGTTTGCTGACTGACGTGTACTGCCCGGCCAAACCCAGAGCCATGCACTCAGCCACTGCCCACCCACAGCAGCAGCCGTATCTCATCCCCTCCTCCTCTCACCTCAGCTTCACACCTCTGACTGTGGCCAGCAAGGAGCTTCCTTCCTGACCCTCCGGGACCCACCCGTGACATTTCCACCATGACCTGGGCTAGCTACTCAGCTGTGCCCACTGTTGGCGGCGAGGGGTCAGAATGGGGGCAGGGGCCCTGACTCACGTGGAGGTGATGGTGCGGAAGCGCTCCTGCCCAGCGGTGTCCCAGATCTGCAGCTTCACTTTCTCCCCATTGATCTCCACGGTCCGAATCTTGAAATCCACTCCGATCGTGGTGATGTAGCTGCCTGCAAGCACATACATTAGCAAGGTCCACAGGTGCCCCAGTCAGACTACAGTGCCCGCACTCTGGGCCCAGCACCATCGAGGTCCCAGGGACATAGTTCTGAATAAGAAAAGACTTGGTCCCTGGCGGGATGGAGCTCCATGGAACCCACAGTCAAGGTGAGGGCAACACACATGACACAATGACAGAGAGAACACAAAGACAATGTCAAAGTGATGAAACCAGTGCCACAGGAATAAAACCAGAGCTGACTGGGAGGGACAGGCTCCTCTAATCAGAGTGGCCGGCTGTTAGCTATCGCCTGAGAATAGTGGAAGGCCTATCATGCCCTTTATTTTTTTCTATTCTGTTCCAAACGTTTTTAAAAACCCACAAATTAACTTCCTAACGCACAAGTCATGACCTGCAATTTGAAAAACAATGTTTGAGGCAGAGGAGACAGTAGCAAAAATAGCAGTGGAGGGAGAGGGGTCACGTAAGGCCAAGCACAGAGCGGAGTCAGGGGTAGGGGGTGCCAAGCCCTGGTCTCGGGGCAAATGCACCATTAGGAGAGCTCGGGCTTTCTGTGTCGGGAAGGCGCGGAAGGTTTTAACCAGAGTATGAGCTGCGTTAGAAACAGCTCTCCTGTGCATCTGTGTGAGAGATGGAGTGGAAGAGAGTTTCTGGCCAATGTAACAGTTCTGTCCAGGCTTACAAAGGCCCGAATGCTAAGACATGTTTTCACTACAATTGGAGCTTACAGTATAACACAGTGCTGCAGACGGGACAAACACACAACTGACTCTATAAAGTATCAAAACTCTAGAGGAAAGGTCAAAGTTCAATGTGGGGTGGAGATCTAGAAAGGCTTTGGGGAAAAAGTCACATTCGAGCTTGAAAGAATAAGTAAAATGACAAAGGTTGAGATTAGGTCGACACACACACACACACACACACACACACCACCCAGAGGCAAAACCCTGAGAGAAAACATTCAGAAACCAGCCAGCCCGGCATTCCGGGCACTGGGCACTCCGCGGGCTCTGATGAGCCAAGGAGTGTGACCCAGCACCTACTGCTGCAGGCAATCAACCAGCAGCTGGTGGCTGAATGAATGAGTAAGCGAGGGAGCTTGGGAAACAGCAAAAGAATGAACAATCAGAGGAGCCAGAAAGCTGGGAAGGTGAGCTGAACACAGATTACGAAGACCGGTGGTTTTCAGCGGGAAGACCGTGTCCGCAGAGGACATGAGCAAGGTCTGGAGACATTTCTGGTTGTCACAGTGGGGGAAGGGCCAATGTCACCGGTGAGTGGAGCCCAGGGATTCTGCTCACATCCTTTACGGAACAGCCCCCACCACACAGAATCACAGGCCCAGAGTGGGAACAGTTCTGAGGTGGAGAAACTTGCCATAAACTCTGCTCACTTAAGAGAGGCCCACTGAGGCACGCCCCTGGCAGAGCCATGTGCCAGCTAGATAAATTCAGCAGTGTGACAGGGGAGGGGGAGGAGCTGCTGAAATGCTTCCGGCTAGAACCAACTAGATGCTGGTAGTAGAAATGGGAAGAGGAGTGAGAGAGTAAAAGAGAGCCCTCCAGGAGTGGAAGCCATGAGGATGGGGAGTCAGAAGGTCCAGGTCATGAGGAAAGTGAGTCTTTTTCAGCCTAATGATAAGCTGCTCCTTAAGTGACCATTCTTGAACAGAAGCAATAACAAACCACTGGAAGGCACTCTGACCTGCAGGGTCACAGTGACCCTCACAGTAACCCTCGGGGAAGGACGGTGAGCAGCCCCACTTGACGATGAGCTGAGACTTAGTCAGGCTCATGGTCACCCAGACAGCTCTTTCCACATCACACCACCAGCGCTGCTGCAGGACGCCTGCCGGGAGAAACCACTTCACCAAGAGAGGCGGGAGCCATGTCATCACTTCCTAGTTTTAGCTCATCCCTTAACCACATCCTAGGGAATTCCCTACAAGACAGTCACACTTCATCCCTGACCAGAGCCAAGCCAGCCCGAAGTCTACAATGAACCTGATGTATTCAACAAGCACACCCACTTCACCAGTATCTGGGAAATACAAACTTAAACCAGACAGCACTTCCAGCAAAAATGAAGACTATCCAAGACCTAGCATTGATGGGCCTTTATACTCTTCATGCCCACCTGGTGCTGCTCCGTGGTTGAGTGTTGACCTGTGAACCAGACCAGAGTTCGATTCCCAGTCAGGGCACAGGCCCAGGTTGAGGCTCGATCCCCAGAGTGGGGCGTGCAGGAGGCAGCCGAGCCATGATTCTCAGTCATCACCGATGTTTCTATCTCTCCCTCTCCCTTCCTCTCTTGATACATATATATAAAATAATATAAATAAACCCCTTCAATGGCAGTGTCAGTTCACTTAGCACAGCTCTGAAAGCTCAGCTCAGGGCACTGTGAAAAAGTCAGATGCACAAGCCCGACCGCATGGCTCTTCTGCGCGAGAAGACACAGTGCAGCCAGGAAGTGCACGTCTCTGAAACCAGAAGCTGCCAGGCAGCAGCACACAAGGTGAACCGTGTGCATCCACCGCGGCAGGGGGCATTCTGAGCCGCTCTGAGCCGTTCCTAAGAACCAGAGGTCTCCTGTGCCGTGGGAGGGTGACCCCTGACACACGAGGGGAGGCGAGTCGCTGACCCCGCGTGCGGAGGGGAGAAGAAAAGTCGGACAGACAGACAATGCTGAACGGAGGCTCCAGGGCAGCAGAGCGGGTAGGTAAAAGGACAGCTTTCATTTTCCACTAGTGAGTCTCTGTTTGAAATTTTACACAGGCATGTACTAACTTGCAATATTTTTTAACTGTGTTTTTTTGTTTTGTTTTGTTTTTAATATTGGGCACAAATAGACCCAGGGTGGCCAAAATATGGGCCTGAAAAGGATTTTTTTTTTCTTTTTGAACCAGACAAATGAAGCCTGACGCAGAGGCTTCTAACCTGTGCCTCCCTCTGCTTCTCCGTCCTCAGCCTGCAATTGCACTGACAAGGTTTGTGACATGAGGCAGAGGCAGGTGTCCTGGCGCCAGGCAAAGGGATTTCAAAACTGAAACACCTCAGCAGCACCTCGGGGGCACACTCACCTGAGAAAGTGTTGTCGGCAAAACGTAAGAGTAAACTGCTCTTTCCCACACCTGCAAGAGAGAGAGCAGGAGATGAGAGGCAGCATGGTCCCTCCCCTCACCCAGGCCTTCCTGCTGCGGGGAAAGGACACCAAGGCCTACGTTTTACACGCAGTGGACTGAGCTCCCCCCTCAATGCTGCTTTTGATCTGAAGCAGCCACACACCACGAGCACCTCCCCACTCAATTTCTGATCTTCTCAGTCCTAGTGAAGACAGCTGTTCCCGAGGCCCAGGGGAGAAATGAGAAAGGGCCTCGTGCCCAGGTCCTGTGCGGAGGGCTAGCCCCAGCAACTCAGAGGAAGGTGCCAGATGAAGAAATAAAGCAGGGAAAGTCACCAAATGAAACTGGCCCCAAAGTGCGTCTGAAGGGTGGTCCCTAAAAACTGCACACCATGTGTGGCGCTTGTCTGTGTGCAGCGAGACAGGACCTGCAGGGCTGCAAAGAACCCTTGAGATCACTGGGTCTATTCTGCAGGTGTGGAAACTGAGGCCCAGACAACTCTAACCAACTGCAGCCATCTTACCCAGTTATGTCAGTCAGCTGGGCAGGGGGGAGGGGTGTCTGCCATACACCTATCAACCAGCAGCTCCCATGGCACAAAGCATTTCACCTGCTGCAGCATCTGCGGGCACACTTGTTCCCAGACAGGTGGAACCCTCGTAAGCTTGGCCTCCCTTTATTCGGCCTCCCAGGTACAACCTGTCCTGTGTCCCTCCCCTCCCCTCGCCCCCCCCCCCAAGGCCAGCTGGGCCAACTGGCCACGGAAGTAAAGAATCAGCTGCACAGAGAGCTGTGGGGGCACTTTGATGCTCCTATAACCCCAGCTGCATCTATTAAGATCAGGATGTGGCAACTGAGACTCCAACAAGCTAGGCAGCTGGCCTAGGGCCTCGGCGGGAAGTGTGAGCTGAGGTCCTAATCCAGAGCTGTCTACTCGGGAGCTCTAAAGCTCTTTCCGATACATTCTGCTTGGGGCGTCTTGCTGCGTCTGTTTCAGGAAGTTCAAAACAAAGATCCCAGAGACGCTCCTGCATCTCACTTCTGGTTGACTTTTAGCAGCAGCGCTATCAAAACTAGATCGGAAGAGAACTTAGCTCAGGGGCTCAGAAACCCCCACAACTAAGTGCAAATTTGGAGTCTGTGCATATTTGGAGGGAGGACTCAGCATTCATCGGCTCCTCAGCTACCCCAGCCCCACTGTGCCTAACTAATCCAGAAATCCCCTCGGAGCAGGCCTCTTGGATGGCATGTCTGGAGTTTCTCCAGGCGAGTACTCTGTCCAGGGAGACCCAGGAGAACGTCTCACGGTAAACCTGGGTCTGACCTTCCCAAAGGCAGGCTGGGGGTGCTGTGCCCCATGGCACCTGCTGCTCAGCCCATGCCTGCAGCGCTCTTGCTCAGAGCCACTTCCTCATTGCTGCCTCTACCAGGCTTCCTGCTGAGCCAAGGAGAGCCCACGTCCTGGGCTGGGTCCCTCCCAGTGCTGTCCAATGCCAACGCCCCACCCGTCCTGCCTGCCCCTCTGCTTCCCCCTGGAAGTCCGGGTCCACTTACTCGGCTAAAAGCTGTGTCTGGGCAACCAGGCTGGGAGCTCCTCCAGGAAGGCAGTCTCACCTCACCTGCCCGGACAGTTAACATGCTGGAAGCCAGGCCCAGCACTTAGTAGGTGCCCACAAAACACTGTGCAATGATTTATGACGAAATGGATGCCAATCACACTGACAGCTGTGCTATCGAATGCTGACTGCAGCATCACGAGGAGCCAAAGCAGTGCTTTTCAAACTTTGAGGGGTGGCAGGATCCTTAGATCCACAACAGATAAGGGAGGTGCTCTCTGCGAAGCAGCAGCGCTCCCTCCTGCATGGCCTCCTGGGTCCCTTCACTCCCCCAGCCCCTCTGCAGAGCCTCTGAAAGGCACCGTCTGCAGGAAGACCGCCACAGTCACCACACCAACAGCTCCCGAGCCTCAAGGCTGGGCCTGACACCAACTTCCAGCATTGCTCTTCCCTTCACATGGAACAGACACCCACTCGCAGAAATGCCACCTCCCAAATAACCCTGGAAGAGGCTTCTTTGGGAAAACTCGCTGCTACCATTCACCCAGAGCACTGGCCTATGGGAGGAAGTGACAAGTCCCAATCCACCTTCACCACAGCTGAAGTCAACAGGTTCCAAGCCGAACATAGTATGAAACCCCATCATCCTTTACCCAGGAAGAGCAGAGGCCGCACTCGATGCCTCTTGGTAGCCAGGAGGCAGAGTTATTCTGCAAAAGCGTCACACACCACTCTGTCATCACCGTGCTCCCTGCAGCACACCCCCTCTCTCCCTTGCTTTCTGCCTTCTGGGCTACACAGATGCTCCGACCCTCAAAAAGCCTCCACAGAAGTCCCCGCCCTCAGCCCTGCTCCTCTCTAGGGCTATGGTTCCCTCACTCTTCTTGGCTTCGGTTCTAGACTGTTGAAGACCTTTAAACCTCCAAGTAAAATGTTCTCAATTGCAAACCAGGCTCAGTAACTAATTCACTGGACTACCTCCGACAAGCCACTTCCCCTCTGCAAGCCTCAGCTCACACATGTGTAAAGTGAAAGGCTCTACCCAGCTCTCTGACCACCGCCCGTCTCCAGCTGGTCTCACGGCTCAGACGAAACGCTTACACATTAGGGCCAATGTTGGAGCATAAGAGAGAGGAAGAACCTTAGGCATAAAGAAGAGCTGCAGAGCTGACAGAATGAGTTCTAGGAGCTTGTATAATCTGGCAGAGTGGGAAGAAGAAATCTAGATTTATAAAGAAACTAACATTCACCGAGGACCTACTGTTTGCCAGGCCAGGGACCAGCTGCTCACACGTGAATCCATGTGTGTTAACTCTCGGCTTTGCCTCTGATGAGCTGTGTGGCTCTGGGCAAGTCAGTCAACTCCTCTGAGCCATAGTTTGCTTTTCTGACAAACTACACAGGCCCAGGGGAGAAGCCGAGGGGCGAGTGTCTGATTATTGGTAAGCCTTAAGGAAGCACCCACACAGGAGCCTAGGTCAGGCCAGCACATGATGCTCGTCTCCTTGCTCAGCTGCCAAAGATTAGTTTGAACTTCCATGGCGACCATCTCCCAGTCTCCTAAGCATTTGGCTTTGAGTATCAGCTCACTGTCAGGAGAAATTAAGCTGCAAAGCATCTGTCTTCTCTACACAACACAGTCCTCTACACACTGAACTAGGAGCCAGTGAGCTTCCCCAACACCTGACTTCTGAGTGAAAAGTCAATACGCCCTGCAAATATACTGTGAAAGGGGGGCCCGACCATCCCCTGGGTTTGACAAAGAAGAGAACAAGCCACATCTTCTTGCTGAGCGTATGCTTTTCATTTTCGGGTATCAACACAGGCTCTAGCTGTCTTGTAGAGGGAGAGGGACCCTGACCAAGGTGAGCTGACTTTAACTCCAGAAGAGAGCACTCACGCTGGGGCCAGCCCCTCCGAACCAGGACCCGGACTGAACTGAAATCCTGTTAACGGCACAAGCCCCCGGACCCGGAAGATGCCAGCGGCCATCTCCCAAGCAAGTCCACACAGCTTGTCCGGTTTTCTTTTATTCAAGCCACAACCTCCTCCTTTCTAACTCCTTCCCCAACCACAGCTACTCTTCATCTCTGTAGTTAACCCCTAATTTTTCCTCTTACCTCTCCCTTCTGCCAGTAACCACGGAAACCTCAGCCATCTTTCACCTGATCCCAACCACCAACCACATCCCAATCCAGCTCCACAGGAGACCAAACCCACCCACTTCCCTGGCCCAGCTCTGACCCATCACGCCTACATCATCAGGTCCGGCACCCCTCTGATTGGTTCCCTTTCCTTTACAATCCATGGGCTCCACCACCACTAGTCACATGACCCCCCCCCCCCCTGCCCACATTCAACTCAGGTCTGGTCTGGTCTATAAAATCGGGTGCTCCCCAGTCTCCTTCCCCATCATATAACCCCGGCGCCTCAGTTAAAAACCTCCTGAGGCCTGCCTCCCTGACCTCTCGGTCACCCCAGAAACCTGCGCACCTGCCACACTCCAAACACCTCTAAACCCTCCACCCTTTCCCAGAAACCAGCCTAATGCTTATCAGGACACTGAATATTCATTCATCAACCATGCGTTAGGCACCTACTGGGCGCCAGGCGCGCACCGGCCCGGAGAGGCTGCAGTGCGCTGAGCTAGAGCTCTGTAATTCCGGCTGCACCTCCGGTGCCGTCCATACACATACAGCACCGAAAGCAAACACATGCTGAACACTCACCTCACCCAACACTCAACAGCCCGGTGACACCAACCCTATTATTCCCTTTCACAGATGAGGAACCGGAACCACAGGGAGACAGGGCAACAGCACCTGGGCAGGAATGGGCCGGGCCCTGTGCGAAGAGCTTCACCGGCCTCACCTTCTACACCTCGCAGGAGCCCGGGAGCCAGGAGCCCGGAGCCCCGGGAGCCAGGAGCCCCGGGAGGCAGGAGCCCCGGGAGCCAGGAGCCCCGGGAGCCAGGAGCCAGGAGCCCCGGGAGGCAGGAGCCCCGGGAGGCAGGAGCCCCGGGAGGCAGGAGCCCGGGAGGCGGGAGCCCCGGGAGGCGGGAGCCCGGGAGGCGGGAGCCCCGGAGGCAGGAACATGCCCACTTCGCAGGGAAGAAACTGACAGCCATGCCCACAGAAAACCTCGGCGCCAGGAGGGGACCAAGCACTCTCCCAGCTTTGTCTCATCGCAGGCTCACGCCACCCGGCAAGTCCCCACTTCTCAGCGGAGGACACTGAGGCTCAGAAACGCGAAACAACTTGCCCAAGGTCACAGACCGAGGAAGCTGGTCGTCCCGGCACTCGAACCCAGGTCTCTCCAACTCCAGAGATCGCGCGACTTGACCAAGGTCACACGTGAGGCAGAGGCGGGCGCGGGGAGTGGACCGGGCGCCCCGGCCCCGACCCCTGCTCGCCCGGCTCCTCCACCCCGCGGCCGGGCCCCCAACCGCTCCTCGGCGCGGCCCCAGCCCCTCGGCGCACCCCTGGGGCCCGCGACCGCCGGCAGCCCCGCCCCGCGCGGCCGGCAGCTCTCCGCCCGTCTGCCGCCCCAAGGCCCCCGCGGGCCGCACCCGGCAGGGCCCACGCCGCCTCCGGCCGCCTCGGCCCTCACCGCTGTCGCCGATGATGAGCAGCTTGAAGAGGTGGTCGTAGTCCCGGGCCATGGCGGGCGGGGGAGGCGCGGGCAGGCAGGCGGGGTCGGTGCTGGCCTCGCGAACCGCAGCTCCCTCCGGGCTGCTCCGGCAGCGGCGGATCCACTTCCCGAACAAACAGCCGGAACTGACAGAAACACCTCCCTCCGCTCCCCCTCCTCCTCCTCTTCAGCAGCCGCCGCCGCCGCAGCCGCCGCCTCTCTCCTTCCCGCCCCACCCCGCCACTGCGCAAGCGCAGCGCCCGGCGCCGCCTGTGCGCAGCCGCAGCGCCGGCCGGCCGCGCCCTCGCCGCGCTCGCGCACCGCGCATGCGCACTGGCCGTCCCGCCGGCGCGGACCGGCTCGCCCGCTTCTAGGCGAGCGTCGCCGCGGCGGCTCGCGGCCCTTTGGGCTCGAAAAGATGAGCTGCTGTCAAGCCGAGAATGCCGGAGGAGCCCGGCCGTGGCCCGGGACCGACCGGCTCCTTCAACTTCCAGCCCTGCGACCCGCGGAGAGGAAAAGACAGGCTCGCAGGGACCGCGCGAGCGGGGCTCACCCGCACTCGGACACTCCGCCCCCTTCTGCACGGACGCCGCCCCCGGGGTGCTGGCTCCGGCCCGAGTCCCGATCCCGTGGAATGGACGCCCGAGCGGTTGGTAGCTGCTTGAGTTTTACCGGAGAGAAGGCACCTGCCGGAGCTGAGCGGGGGAGGGTGGCCTCTTAGCTAAGCTCTGGGTCGAAATCACATCCAAGTCCGTATACACTCCGGGAGCGCGAGTTGCCTTCTTGGTAAAATGGGGAGAATAGTTGGATCCAGAGCCCGTTAGATTAATGGCGCGTTGTGTTTTCTGAGGGGAGAGAGAAAAGGGATGGGGATGGGGAGGAGCTTTGCTTTATGTTTCATTTATTCCTGTGCTGCTTAAATTTACAATGGGTACTTCCCATAAAAGCAGCAATAAAAACCCAAAATAAAGTATCTAAAATCACCATCTATGCCAATATGGAAAGAGTGTAAATATTGAAAAGATATAAATAAAATATTAGGTAGGATTACAAAAGACAAACATATCCTTAAACCAAAAAGTAAGATAAAACAAAAAAATCTTGACTATAAAAAGTAATGCTTATGGAGGGGTGGAGCAACAAATTGATGTTTTTCTCTCTCAAATCATTTTTTTTTTAATTTTAAAGTGGTGCTCATAGGTGTTTTTTTTTAAAATATGTACATTTTACCAAAAAGTACACGTTGCTACTTTTCCTTCAGACCCACTCCTCATAGGTAATCTCTTGATGATGTTTCTTGGATACCTTGAAATGCTTAATAAATATATATTGAGTGAATGCGAAAAGTGAGTATTCTTTCAGTGAGTATTCTGTGCCTGTGCAAACACATACATGTATGTGCGCTGCCTTTTGCTGCATTATGGTACTCCACATGGTTGAACTATATAATTTAAACGCTAGGCATTTAGTTGGTTACAATTTTTTTTGTTATACAATGTTACAGGAAAGATCCTTGAATAACACACGGAGTGTCTGAATAAAGCTCTGAGTTTTTCCAGGAGCTGAGAATCAGTGTGGTGATGTCAGAAGAATCTGGACTTGAAATCGGGAGGTACGGAGAGAAGAGCTGCTCCTTTGAGAAATGGCCCTTTTTGGTCCGGGAAAGGTTAATGGGGTCCCCTTTGAGCCGCCATTTTAGTTAGGAAATATCAGGAAAGAAGGAAGCATCCATGTAGCCACCAGGCAAGCACACTCAATTCTGACCAGCCGTTGAGGCTATCACTCCAGGCTCTCTGCTCAGCCTGCTCTGGAGGTGAAGAGACTGTGTAAAGGCCAGCTCTGAAATCCTGGCTCCGTCCCTGAAAAGCTTTGAGCTTTTGGATAAGTCATATCACAGTGTCTCAGAACCCCAGGATCCAGACAGGATTAGAGCTGTGTTTGTAGATCACCCACTCATAGAGGCATACTTCATTTTACTGTGCTTCTCAGGTTCTTGTTTACAAAAAAAAAAGGCAAGATCCTCCACCAGCACAGAGATTACAACTCATGAAGGCTCAACTAGCATTTTTTAGTAATAATGTATTCCATTTTCTAGACACAATGCTATTATACTCTTAAACTACAGTAATAGGGCAAATGTGACTTTTATATGAAACTGACAAACCAAGAAATTTGTGCAGCTGGCTCTATTGCGGTACTCGCTGTAGTGCAGTGTCTGGGGCTGAGCCCGCATGCCACCAGGCGTGCCTGTGTGCACATGATAACAGCCAAGACCCTGTACACGGGCCTGTCATACTATTAGCCGTCTCTCGCTGTGGACTCCAGCACCATGTCCAAGGCAGCCCCCCCGCCGACATCAGGGCTGCAGGGTACTGTGAGGAGAGCAGAACTGGCCGTGGTGAAGAACAGGCGCCTGTCCATAACATTAATTCCTTCATGTATGTAGTAACTCATTGTTTAATGAGTGCTGTTTATTATGTGCCACGGATGGTAGAAGAGAGCCTTTCCCTCCAGGAGCTTACAGGCTCATCAGAATAAGATACGCTCATGAGGAATTAAAAATACACGACAATACAATAGCTGTCAAACAGGCAGTCTAGACTTCAGAGGATGGATGCTGTCACTTACAGCTAGAACGAGGGGAAAGAGATTTCATCATAAAAGGTTTCCTGATGGGACTGGAATCGAACGCTTTGAATGACGGGTGTATTCAAACAGCCACTGTCGCAGTCTGTGAGAAGCCTCAATTTTGTCTTTGAGGGGAATTCCCTGTAGGTCAGGAGATGTGCCTGACATCCCAGAAATGAAGCTCTGAGTACATTTCCTGTGGAAATACTGTTTTACATTTAGTTACACTGCAATGATTGGAGCTATGTGGTGGTAGGTGGATAGCTGTAGATAGAAACTTTATATGTGGATACAGATAGAAACTATCACGGCCTGAGGTAAGATTCGGTGTGTAACACTGAACAGACAGCTTATAGCTGAACTTTTGCAGCACCACCTGTTTGCACATTAGAAACTGCACCGGGGAGGCAGTGAAAGTTTGAGCAGAGTAGCAACAGCAAAATGCTATTTTAGGAAAGTAATCTGCTGCAGCATACAACATGGATATCAACTGCAGCCCGTAAAGGAGGTTATTGCTGAAGCCCAAGTGTGAGGCAACAGCAGGAAGGGACAGATGCAGCAGGCAATATAAAAACATCAACCAAAGCAACATTTTTTTAAAAGTCGCATATCTGACAATTCATTCACTAAGTCATCAAGTACTGTGTGCCTGCTAGGAGCCAGGCACTGTGCTGGGCACTGAGGATAGAACATGGGCAAAACCCATCCTCAGGGAGCTTACCGTGCCTTTCACAAGCATCTGAGGGCTCAGGGTGTGCCAGGCTCTCAGCAGGAGGTTCAGCATAAACAAAACTAGAACCCCTGCTTTCGTGGTGGAGAATGCAAATAAATATGTGTCTCAAGACAAAACTAAGGGGAACAGGAGCTTGCAGAGGTTTAAGGGACAGTGACACTATGGCGGTATAAGTAGATATTGTTCGTTCAAGAAGTTTGCAGTGAATGAAAGCACAAGGATGGATGGTGAGAACAGTGGTGTTGAATGAAGTGTTTTTCAGGATAGCAGAGGTGGTGTATTAGCCGCTGGCGAGTGGGAAGGATTGAGTAGTGAGGACTGAAGATGGGTGAAGGGCACTTTAAAGAGCTTTGCTGACTAAGAGGAAAGTGGGGAAGTGCCCTCGGCCTTGGAGACGGAGCCAGCAGTGCCTGGGAGCAGGAGAGAGGCGGGTTAGCACAGTAAGGCCTGGAGGGCCTGTGAAATCCAGCTCCGAGACCGGTCAGCAGTGGGTTCTAAAGTTGCTGAGATTCTAAGTAGCAAGGGTGTGAGCACATGTTGCAGTCCTGTGAGATTGTGTCTGGTCTCTCGTTGGTGGAACTGGAAATTGGCCCTTTATCACATACCTGCATGCCTGATGCCACATCAAGAGACCTGGCAATGGCCTTGCCCTGCCCTTAGGTAGCTCAAAATCAAGTGGACGTTAAGTACCTCGATTGCAGGAACCATCCTGATATTCTCTGGGGCCTAACAGGTGGTAAGTTCTTGGGTGGTCTGTTGAATTAAAAGCCACACACAGAATTTAAAGAGAAGGAATATCAGAAATAATAGCCGAGATCGGTTTGGCTCAGTGGATAGAGCGTCGGCCTGCGGACTGAAAGGTCCCAGGTTCGATTCTTGGTTGCGGGCACATCCTCAGTAGGGGTGGTGCAGGAGGCAGCTGATCGATGTTTCTCTCTCATCGATGTTTCTAGCTCTCTATCCCTCTCTCTTCCTCTCTGTAAAAAATCAATGAAATATATATATTTTTTAAAATAAAAATAAAAAATAATATAATTTAACACTCAGATTTGCTTTATGACAGGTATGGGCCAAATTTGAGGTCTCTCACTATAACTCAGAGTCAGTATCCTCCCCCCATTCCCACCAAACCGTCAGTAGGGTCCTAGTTTCCTCATCTTTTAGATCAGTGGTTCTCAAAGTGCAGTCTGGGGACCCTGGGGGACCCTTATCAGTGAAGTCAAAACGTTTCATAATACGAAGAAGGCACTTGTGTTTTCCACTCATTCATACAGTGGTTTTCCAGACCTACACCACGTGTGATCTCACAACAGATTGACTGCAGGAGCAGACTGAGAATCCAGACATTAAACACGCAAAAATGCAAACTATACTGCTCTCCTCACTAAATAACTTGTCTTGAAAAACTTAGTTATGTTTATCATAGATGGGTTATTTGTAATTAATGGGTTTACTTTTTGAAATAAATTTTTATTGATTTCAGAGAGGAAGGGAGAAGAGAAACATCAATGATGAGAATCAGTGATCAACTGCCTCCTGTATGCTCCACACTGGGGATCGAGCCCACAACCTGGGCATGTGCCCTGACCAGGAATCAAACCATGACCTCCTGGTTCATAGGTCAGTGCTCAACTACTAAGCCACACCAGCTGGGCTGGGCTTATTCTTTT